GGACATGGAAATGTACTTGATTAATTAATCATTGCTGTTGCTAATTGCCTTTCCTTGCTTCAATTGCACGTCAATAATACTCAAACATTTACAATGTGTCCACTCCAAATGTATCTATACACATAAATTTACATATTATATACTACAACCATGTAGTATATAATATCTATACGTAATTAATTAAAAAATATCCACGTATATATCATCCAACACGTCACTCTTCAACATGTACAGAATCAAATTCAATGTTGAATAGTGCTGTGCTGAAAGTGAGAAATGTGTTGGAATTATTTTCGACTGGTCAGTCAATCCGATTGACTGGTATGCAACCAGACCCAGTAAATTTATGTATATTTATCAGATGTCAAGGCATATTTTAATTGTCTCTCTGGCAGACGGTATATACTATTTTATTTTTAATTATAATTATTTATATAAAATAATATACTTAGCAACTGGTATCACCAGAGAGATATTACCAGTACTCAAGCTTGAAATGCTAATGCAATTTAACACGAAGATTGGGAAAACCAGTGGTTGGAGATTGGGGGTAAACCGAATGCTGAGATCGGTTGAGTAGGCTCATAGTCAACCGGATGGTTTTTCGTGGTCGGCAATTCCATGCTTGGTGGTTCACGCTAATGATCCTAAGAGAATTCAATTCTCTTTCTTTCTTTCTTTCTTATTTTAAAATTTTTCATGTGAATAACCTAAGGATTATTTATATAAAATAGAGTTTTATATTATTATTTATACAAAGCTTCATTTTTATTATTACTTGTGTCAAGTGCTTTAAATTTAATTCTATATACTTATACATTAGCGTGTTTACATTAATACTTAATAGTTTATACAACAGATGAGAGTAATATAAAGTGAAGCGCTCAGTGAGTCGAGGGCCACCTGTGAAAACCCCCTCTCTGTCAGCTAAAAACACCTGTTACAACGATCCATTTATGTGAGCAGAGACGTTTGCATCAAAGTATCTGTTGATTTTCCTGTGGCGTACACTTTGGCGAGTTCTCGGAGTCCAATTCACACCACCAGATCCACAGCGTATGTGTGCATTTAAATCTTCATATTATAATGCTAATAAAACCAATGCAGTTTTCTCTTCTATCAACAGCATTAGTTTTCTAGGTGGCAGCACTTTCTTGGCTCCTTTTTAGCATCTGTTTATCACTTTGAAAGATCAAACTTGGGTTTTTTTTTTTACTTGAGAATTTTCAGTATTCAAATAATTTTAAATATTCAATTTTTCAGGAAGAATTTCAATAATTAACAAAACATTTATAATAAAAAAATCAAGAATTCAAGTATCAAGATGTAAATTGAAGAAAGGTAGGTTTAAAAAATAAAATATTTTTAAAAATGACTTTTACATATATAAATATTCATAATAATTTGAATATTATATTTTAAGTATCATCAAATGGTCCGGAATAATTTATATATATATATATATATATATCAAGAGCAAAACCAGCAGAAAGTAAAATATAAGCAGTGAAGAATATATGGCTGATGGATTTTGCTCGTTGGATAACAACATCCCAGTCTAAGTAGTGGTATAAACTCTCGATCCTGCGTCAGAAGATGACGTCAGGGTTTTGATACAAATTTCTCTCAGAAAGTCTCGTTCTCGCTCTCTCAGGTGATATTAATAAATTTACGGTCTCACTCTTCTCGAGAGTTAAGTCAGACTGTGCTCTGTGAAGCTGTATGGTAGTTGAGTTATGTATAGTTGTCATTATGTTAGGTAGCTGAAGCTAACTACAGCACACAGAAGCATATATTTCAAAAGTTACTTTTGCCTGTAGCGTTAGCCCCGAGTTTCGTTGACGCATAAAAACTGTCATAAATTCCTCGAGCGAGGAATTTGCACCATTTTATTGACTTGTAAATTCTTTCGTTTCACCGAGTATTTATTTTCAGGTTTAAATTATCTGATTTTAATTATTTATTATTAAATATTCGTATACTTGTAGGTAGAGAAGTAAATACATAGCAAAGGTATAAACGTCGTCGTCTACTTCATATTATATTAGTTTGAACGCCGTACCGTAGATAGATTATATCTGTAGATCTGGAGTTTAGCTTGAGGGCAACATGACACTGACTGGTGGGGAAGACACGTGAGTCATTTGAGCATCTCATGGAATATTTGTTAAAGCAATCGATTCTATATACATATATATATATATATATATAGACATAGACAATTTAGTTTCGGTTAAATTGTAAGATCGCTGACCCTAAGGTAAAATAATTCTCGCGTCATATTTCAGTACACGTGTCATAAAATAATAACAGAAATTAATTGTATTTTATTTTACAGAACTTTAGACTTTTATTTATCCTCAAAGTCATTGGATTAATTATAAAAATACACATGTTGCTGATATGAGCGTCTTTCATCATCTGACAGCTAGATGGTACCTTCTGCTTATTGCTTCTTGACTTTTTTTTTTCCTTATCGCACCTTTCCTAATTTCTCTTACGAGTTTTTTTCAAGTAGAGGTCCAATCGATATTTTCATCTACCTTGAGACTTGAGATTTACGATATCCTAGCCGAGTAATCTTGAGAAATATATTTTTCATAGCTTTCATTTTTTTTTATGATACCCAGTAAAAACCCGTGTCTAATCACGAGTACGAGATCTCTTACAAACGTATTGTATGAGTTTAATATTGGAGTAAACTCTGATGTAGATGGTAATTACAATGATTGTTAATGCCAACCGCAAGGTCGAACGGTTATTTTAATCATGAATTATACATTTTTTAGTTTTCAATTAATTTAAGCTAAAAATTTAAATCTATTAATTATTATTTTTTGCTCCTTTTTTTTGTAATTATTAAATAAAAATAAGCAATGACAGGAGGATAGTTATCTTAATCGAATTGCACACAATTCACAATTTTTATTGAGTGTGGGCGGAAGTAGTCTGGCACCAACCAACAGTAAAACGGATATAGAGAGCAGGAAGTGAACACGCAATTATTCATGGATTTACCGGGGGGCGATCAAAAAGACAAATTCATAATTATTTAAATAAATCCTAGATACTGTGGAGCTATTGATTTAATTCGATGATTTATTTATTTATTTGTTAAAATCCAAATTCAAATAACAAATAAATAAATAAAAAAAAAATTTATGCGTCACTGCTGATAAATAATTGTTGTATTTCACAACAAACGTTATTATCTTTATTATTTATGGCAACAAGTAAATTGTAACAGCAAACTGCCATCGGTATCACTAAAATAATTTAATTTCCGCGCTACTGCACGTGTATTACTACGCCAGTACATGTACTAAATATTTTCAAACATCAATTACCGAGTACTTACCCAGAGTAATAGATATATGTTTCTATATATAATTTTTGGTGGTATCATTGTACAATTCAAATTATTTTTAAATTACTCCAAAATTTTTTTGAGTTTATTCTCAGCTGTTTCTCGACCTGGATGATGATTTATTTATCAGGTCATCAAATTAATAATTAATTTGGGTGTCTGAAATGATAGTAATTAAGCAAACTGGGCGTCGGGAGATGATTAATAAAAAAATATAAATATCAAAAAGAAAATAAACAAGATGGCGCAATAAAATGGCGAGTAGCAAACGCGCATGCGTATCTACGCGTGTAAAAAAAAATAGTCCCGATAAAAATTAGTAACAGCAATTAAAACAAGGCTGGAGGTAAAAAAAAAAAAAAAAAAAAACAAATAATTATTTATGGGTTGTAAAAAAAAAAGTATCAGCACATCAGCGATAAATCTGGTGACGTAGTGAGATGATAACAAAAAAATTGTGACGTTTATTTATAAGCAGATATTTAAAATAAAATGAAGAGAAAAAAAACAAGTGTAGTGTATATTTAGTGCGCTGGTGAGAGTGTATGGAATAATCTCGAATGTGACGTCAGTGGGGAATACAGATAGGCCTGTAGCCAAAGTATTTATTGGTAGTTGTAGTTGTCGAGTCGAAAAGGCCGAGAGATTAAAGAAACGGGAGAGTGAGAGAGAAAGAGCTTGTCGACGCAAAGGTGGCTGCGCAAAGGAATTTAATTTGAGGAGGTGGTCGAGGCATCCGCCGTTGTCGTCGTCGTTGTTGTCCTCGTCGTCATCCTCATCCTCGTGTCTTACACCAACTTATTATTATTTAATTAATCTCAGGCTCAGGATATCACTCGGGATTAGAGATCGGGATAATACTCGCGAGACCAAAAGAGAGAGAATATTTTACGTCTGATAATAAGACAAACACCATCATGGGTGCTCTTAAGTATTAATATATACATACACATATATATATATATATATATATATATATATATATTTAAGTACATTTTATTATACATACATAATAAATGCGTATTGCATTACAAGTGACAGTTTAATGTAGATTATTTTGAAAAGTAAGTACAAAAATTAAAAGACAAAAATTTTAACTATTGGTATGTACTGATAGACACCAGTGGATAAATAAGATTGATTGTTGTGATTATTATTTAGTAGACGAGTTTTAAAATAGGACACACACGAGTTAACAGTATATATGTATATATATATATATATATATACTTACATACATAAGCAAGATTGTTATAGCCAGTGTACACTTGTTCTGAAAAGAAGTGCCAGAGACCTGAGGGGGAGGCTAAATAAGTAAAGAGAAAACCTATCAACCTTGCCTATTGTCTTCAGTACAACTAATAACCTTTATTTTTCAAATTTATGTATTTTTTTACTCCATAATAACTCCTTGGGCTATTATAATTACTATTACAACTTACAAATTATCAGCGTGAGCAAGTGAAACGTGATCGTGGTGTTGGCAAGTATTTTTTGAAAGTGGATTTTTCGAGCCAATGAAGGTTAAACGTTGTAATTATTGACTCCAATAACAGGCAAATAAACTAAATACCAGACTAAGGTGTTACTACAATTAAACGGATACATTTAACTGGTATTTTTGACGTTAAGAATGGAGGCTACCGCTAAACATGATTTTACAGCAACAGCTGAGGACGAGCTCAGTTTTCGCAGAAATCAGGTTTTAAAGGTTCGTATTTTAACCACATCCATTAATACTTGTACAATATATCATTGTAGTCGACTTTAAATATTACATGTTAGTTATGCTGGTACATATCGTGTATCCTGTAAGCTATCGTCGTTTTGTTTGTAATGATAATAATCATTTGATACGAATGATACGCCGATACTGTTTATATCACACTTGGGTGTCATTTATCATATAATTTCGACTCTGCTGGAGTTCATATCCAATATTTCTAATATTTATTGTCGCTGTGTTTTTTATTTTCCCTTTTTTTCTTTATTTATTTGTATTTGAATTGATATTAATTAAGGTCAATTGTTTATCCACAGATTCTAAACATGGAGGACGATATGAACTGGTATAGAGCTGAACTGGATTCAAAGGAAGGTCTGATACCTAGTAATTACATCGAGATGAAGAATCACGAGTAAGAACCATCAATTTATTCATATTTACGTTTCAATGTATCTTATTTATCGAGTAATTTATTTTTTAGCTGGTACTATGGCCGGATAACGAGAGCTGACGCCGAAAGACTCCTCTCGAATAAACACGAGGGTGCCTTTTTGATAAGAATCAGCGAGAGTTCTCCTGGAGACTTTTCACTATCTGTCAAGTATGTTTTTATATTTTAATATCAATCAATCAAACACTTAATATTTAATACATAAAATCAAATTAAAAATTAATGATATTTTTATGACCATTTAGATGCTCTGATGGCGTTCAACACTTCAAAGTCCTGAGAGATGCACAGGGTAAATTTTTTTTGTGGGTAGTAAAGTTTAGTAGCCTTAATGAATTAGTGGAATATCATCGTACGGCATCAGTATCACGTTCTCAGGACGTTAAGCTACGTGACATGATACCAGAGGAGGTAATTAATTAACCAATTAACCGTTTATGCTTTTGACATTGACTGATAACTGATAATAACAAATTTATTTTTCTCTTTCGTTATTTTTAGTGTTTAGTACAAGCCCTGTATGATTTCACACCACAAGAACCTGGTGAACTTGAATTTCGAAGAGGTGACGTTATCACCGTGACAGATCGCACAGATCAGCATTGGTGGCACGGGGAAATTGGAAATAGACGGGGATTATTTCCATCTACATATGTTACTCCTTATCATTCTTAGGTGAATTTTTTTATTAATCTAATATTAATAATTTTAAATAAAATAATATAAGTAATATTGATTATTTATCAATAGATTATTGTTGCCAACATCCATTAAGGACCATAATCGCCTCTATCATGTACAGACAGAATCAGATAAGCTGCTAAAGTAATCGGACATTATTTTCTCATCGTGTGGGCTACTTGGAAGTAATTAAAGAAAGAAAAAAACAAAGTAAAAACTAAAACACCAATAAATAAATACATTCGACTTGATTTTCATTAATATGCCATTCTGTTGCCATTCTTCATGTCATTATTAGCTTATAAAATTATTATACATGTATGATATCTGATACTAATTATTACTCCATTATTATAAATTATACTATTATTATTAATTATAATTATTAAATACTTAACGTATTATATAGAATATCCGTTTATGTCGCATAAGTTGCTCATCATCACTATAACGATTTCAATAGTTATTGTTAAAGAGGAAAAAAAAAAAAAAAAAAAGAAACTATTTTGTCGTAGTCTAATGTTAATGATAAATTTTGTACTTTTTTATGTACTGACAAGCGGATTGAAATTGAATTATTTTTTGTGACAATATTTTTACTCGGTAACTTTAGCGTGTACTTTATTTTTAAAAATTTACACGACGTATATTTAATTATTATTATTATTATTATTATTATTATTATGATTATGTTTTTAATGTGATTATGATTACTGTTGTTATTATAATGTCAGTAATACGAGAAAAAAAAAAAAATGATGTACGTAGCCCACCATGAGTCTTAACTTGGCTTTTGTGTTGCAATTAAATTAAATGTAGCGTACATAGCTCGATTTATAGTTTATTCTTTTTGATACTATGTATCGCGAAGATATATTACAACGCTAACAAAGGCCTAATATTTTGTTATTATAAAAACAATATATTATTAAATTTACTATAATTATAATAATAAATACGTTGGATTATTAATATTATATTATCATCTTATTTTTTTGTTTATAAATAAAGTAAAAAGTTACATTTATTTTATATCGTTTACTATAACACGCTTATTATACATATGTTGATTTCAAATAAAGTTAATAAAATCGATATAAAAATTTTAATTAGGCCTCAATATGCAAATTTTTAAATTTATTCTTTAGTTGCCGTTTATAAATATTGATTACGCACAAACTCCATATTTTATTTAATTATATTGACCTGCAATGTATGAATGAAGTAATTGATTATTGAAATAAAAAAGAAGAAACAATTAAAAAAACAACTTTTGAGTGTTATTATTTGTTGTACAACTTTTTTTTTTAATTGAATCGTTAAATCTAAGCATTCTGGCGAATAAAAAGTTAGCAGAAATGTGAGTAATAGCAATAGGAAGTACTCACAGATAATATTTATGCAACAATCAGTAAATCTAGGTCGGTATTTCTACTAATTGATAAACAAAAAGTAGAAAAAGTTATCTTTACATGGATAATTCATTCTAATTAAAAGAAAATATATTTACATAAGTTTTATTACAAATACCCAGCTTATAAATTAATATAACTTATCTTTGATTTATAATTATGATTAAAATTACTAAATTTACCCACGGAATTTTAATACAATCCATAATACGAAGAAGACAAAAATAGAGAATAAAAATAAATATATTATGTAGTAATTGTGTCCAGCTTTGGCCATTCTGATAACTCGAGCTACTGAAGACGTCAGTGAGCCACTTGTTCTTTCAAAATCATCATCCTAGGATGAAAAAATAAAATAAAATAAACATGTCGAGTGGTTAATTAAATTAAAATTAATTATTAATCAAAATAATTGAATATTTTACCATGTCTCTCAAAATTTTATCCTGATATTTGACCTCAGTTCCAATGTCGATAGATAATGATTTCAATGCATGGATTTTATCGCTGAGATCCTCCTCCAGTCGCTCATTTTCTTGCTCCAGATGACTCCCTGAGGATGTTGGTAACGGCTCGTAGCTGTAGCCAGCTGAAACATTTATTTAAAAAGATAAGTACAAAAAATAAGCGGATTTTAACTAGTAAACCGCTCACCCCTCTCACCAGAATGTGATCGCCTCATTTTGGTGATGTTTTACTTGTCTTTTGGCAAACAAAAAATAAATAAAGTCTTGAGAGCTAACTTGTAGACCTCGATAACATTTCCTGGAGTTGTTATATTCAAATATCTGTAAATAGGTATCGTTATAACTAACTATTCAAATGACACGTCATCACAACAATAAAAACATAATTGAATGATGAAATGATGAAACAGTTATGGATTATGAATTGTGCAGATAAATTTATAAAATATACCTTGGTATTTTGCGGCTGTTGTGAAGTAATTAAAAATTATCACGTCATTTTACAGATAATATGACATAGCAGACACGTCAAAGAATTAAACAACAAATAATAATCCATGTTATTTAAAATTTACTCGTCGTTGACAAGTCCATGAATTTTAGTTTCAAAAATCTACACTAGGCGGCGCTTTAAAAGTAAGTTCACGCGCACAGATGACATCTCTCCTGTCGACCTTCGATAAAGTAATAAGTTCCTATAGACGGCGCGCTTAAAGTTTATTCAATTTACGTTCAGTAAAATTCGTTTTAAGTTCTAAATAAAAAAATAGTTGGTTAAAATAAATAGTGAATTTTAATTTATATAAATTTTATCAGTTTTATTATAGTTATTATTTGTTGAGTGATCAGTGTCAGTTGGGTTATTGTTAACAAGTTTTAAACAGTGAGTGTTGAATGTTTATAATTAAATTATCAAATGTCAACAGTGAATTTAAGTGTATATATTTATTTCTAGTTTTTATATTCAGCTGCTTGCTATTCAGGATTGGATACATCAAAGGTAAGGTTAATAATTTATAATAGTGTTAAATTAATGGAGATCAAACATTTTTGACGAAAAATGATCGGATGTTTATTCTTATAATTTTAATAAAAATTATTTCGATCCGTGTCTGACAACAATCAACTATACTATTTAAATTAATTGAAAAAAATAATATCAGCATCTGGACAAATCATGATACTAAATAAGATACAAAATAATTAATTTAATCACTCGAATATTTATTAATATTTACTATGTTACATTTGAAGGCACAAACAATTAAAAACATATTTAATAATTATGTTCTATAATATATCTGTTTCATCTAACACTCCTAAACATTGTATTTTTAATCACATTTACATCAATAGTATTATTTATTATTAACATGATAATAGATATACCATCATCTATTTTTTAATTAAACTTAATTTACTCTTTCAGTATTTATACAAATTTTTAGAATACATATAACATATGTTATCATAACACTTTTAATTAATCTAAGATTTTGTTTGATATCAATCATACAATTACAAAATTAATTAACTTAATTTTTTTTTTTCAATTATTCACAACCCTCTCGACTTAAATTTAAAATCAAAAAATTTTATTACATCGGTACCAGAGTATTTATAATTTTATAAATTATTTTAAGTACTAAACAAATATTTGTTTTTAATTTTTTTTTAACATTGACTTGATTAAAAATAAAATCAAACAAAATCTTTCAATAACAGTTAAATTTTACATTAATTAATTTTTTTCCTCTTTTCTAACGATTTATCAACATATATTCAGACGTGATCTACTCGACGATGATTAATAAACATTTTTATACTACCACAATGTGTAAGTAAGTCAGTCTGATACATCATATTTATTTATTTGAATAGGATAAACGATTAGTAAATCTAGTCAGACGATTTTTGACTATCATTCCAAAATGCAAGGGGTTTTTTTAAGTAGTAGGACAATGTCTAGTCTTTATTTATTATTTTATAACTATTTAAAAGTCTATAAAGCATTTAAATGCTAGAAAACTTAATTGTTCCCGATGATTTAAAAATTGTTTAGGCCCTTTTTTATCAAATATCATAATAAAAACCCCGTATCTGGAATGTCTAGTGCTACTTAATACCAAATATTACAATCGAATAAATATTTAAAACTTTGGAAGACATCAAAACTATCGATTAACACTTTCTTTATGAATCAGGACAATATTTAATTAATAACACGTAGAAACATTGAGTCGTTGAGAAAAAGAGGAGGGGAATGTGTTTACTTATTAGTTTTTAGAACAAATTTGATAATAGAGCACCAAGTTGCTTCCAAGCACCTGAGAAAACTAATCTCCCCTTTTAATTTGATTATGTCAATAGTTATCATTAAAAAATAATCAATAATTATTATAATTAATGTATAAATTGAATTATTAAAAAATGACTAGTCTTCTCTAGATTGTTTTGAAATCCTAGATTGAGAAATAGAAAAATATATATACGTCGAAATAATAAACATCTTGTTAATTACGTCTCTTCATATCGTTCAACAAAAATATATATATAAAAAAAAAAAAAAAAAAAAAAAAAAAAAACAAATACAAGTAATTGAAAATTACTTCCCGGAGTATTTGGACGTGGGAGTAAATCTTCGCGAGGGGGCAGGACTGGCTGGTGCTGACGGAGAAGGTCCCGTTGGTGTTGTGGGTTTAGAACCCCGTCGACTTCTCCTCATAGATGAGTACGGACTCGTACCTCTGCTGACTTGCTCGTGAGCGTACAGAAGCATCCCGATATCGCGATTGCCCGCGTGGACGGCGATAGTCAGAGCGGTGTTGCCGTCAACATCCACAATTGATGTGTCGCAGTCTGAATTTGCCAGTAAAAGCTTGACAATATCGGCGTGTCCATGCTCGGCGGCACACATTAACGCAGAACTACCATCCTCGTCCTGGATGTTGACAGCTGCTCCAGCATCCAGCAGCAATCGGGTCATGTCTGTCCTTCCGTGAGATACAGCAAGCATCAGCGCCGTTTGTCCATGCTAACATTTTAATTTATCAATTAATAACAGAACACAATTTTTATGATATGAATAAAAAAGAAAATATTGCATGTACTTACAATTTTAGCGCGAGTATTAACATCAGCCAATTGAAAAAGTCTGGTTATGACGGAGGCATGGGTTGAATTTTTAATGTCAACGAGGGCTGTCAGCATCACAGGAGTGTAACCAGCAGCATTTGGCTTGTTAATGTCACAAACTTTCGAGTCGAGAAGAATTGAAACAACGTCGTAATTGCCGTGAGAAACAGCGTAGTGCATTGCAGTGTTTCCATTGGTATCGACCATGTTTACGATGTATTCCAGCAAGATGCTCGAGTGTTCTTCGAAGCAGTCCAAGTAGTCCTCGACATCCAGGGGATTCGCTGTCACGACACTCGATATTTTAAACCACTCTTGCTGGATTACGTTGGTGGCGTTCTTGGTCTGATGGGAAATATTTTTGCTGGGAGATTTTTTCAAGTTGTCATTCAGTACTTTTAATGCCGCGCGCATTTCTTTCGACGGTTCTTTTTTCACGCGAGACTTGTCACGTATTGGCTCGAATAACGCTGAATCCGGTAAGCTTGTTTTTTCTTCACTGTTTATTTCTTTCTCAGGAGATATTATTTCTTTGGATTCTTTAGTGGTGTCGTTTTTTATTTCCTCTCCCACCATTTCATGCCTAGAATTAAGTTAGATTTTTTTAGATTAGACTATGTAATATATTTTATTAATTAATATTTAATCAATAGATTCAAGGATTTATACTAATATAAATTTTCTATATTAATAACTTTTTCTTAACTATATTCTGTTCAGCTTTACAAAAATTTAGAAGAAATACATATGAATAAATTAGATAAGCAAGATTACCGCTGAAAGTGCGGGGAATTAAGTCTGCGGAATTCCATATCATTTTCAACACTCGAATATTGTTGTTGAAGCATTGATTTTAATAGACTCAATACTCTAATATTAATTGATATTCACCATCACACGCGCGAACCATCTGACATATTCCCACAAAATAATAAAAAATTCGTGCGTAATAAAAATCAACGAATCAACAAAAGCGAAAATTATTAAGTATGGATATAATTTTAGCTGGCAAATAGAAAATAATGAGATATACAACCCGTGGGTCGCGAAGACTGAGGATAAATAACGAATACAACAAATAAAACCAGTTAGCCTAGTATGACGCACGCGCGAATCCTGGCAGCTTACTATATACAGTAATATAATATAACAGAACCACTAAGCTGATACAAGGGGTAGAAATTACGTGGGGAACGTGCAGCTGTTGGAGACGCACGCGCTTTTTCATCCCTTGCAACAAACATTTTCTTTTGTCTAAAAACAATAATCCCCAGCTTAACATTATTTTCAGCAGTAAAAATAAAAATAATGATAATAATAAATAAAATACTCACTTATTACAATCATACAATTCTTTGTTGTCGGCGTCATAGCGTATGATTCCAACGGGAATTTTGGTGTAGGTGTCTTGCCTCTTGAATTGCTTTTTAAGATCAGTGCTGTTTAAGTTAATGTTCGCGGGTCTTGGTATCCTCGAGACCCCATTAGTCGCTTGGTTCGGCGAGTTATCCAAACTTCTGTACATATTCTCATTATTATTTGAAATCTGCTTGGCAAGTGTTTTTATTGTTTCTTTGCAGTTGTCGCAATAGTTAGCAGCGCAAGAAATAGAAATATGTGGTTTGACAGAAGCACCAACAGAAACGTCGACTAGCTTTTTCTTAATAGGCGATGTACCAAACTCACGTCTCTTTGGCGAGAGGCCCACAGTGTCGGTACTCTTGGGTGTAGTTTTAATCAATCCTTCGACAGTCAACCCAACGGTCCTCGTAGTTTTTCTCTTGGGTTTAGTGTCACCGTAATTGAATGAATGGCTCCTTGAGTTCATTGAATTTAGTGAAATCGGCTGTACGATTGAAACAGGATCCGGTCCAATGGCTATTGATTTTGTTCCTGGGCTCGATGGTCCTATCGAAGTTCCAACTTCGGACGTGCGGGGCTTAACGGTCACTCCGACATGAGACCTCATTTTGAAGGGCTCTGATGTCTGGGTTTCTTTATGTCTCATTGCCAATTTCTTCGGAAGTATTTGCAGACATTGAACACCTTTTGTCGCCATTTGTTTTGTCATCGAATTGCGGTACCTGTTTACAGCTTCCTCGACCATGCGGGCTACCTCTTCTGAGGTATAAAGATTAGACATTTTTTCTGTTGTCTCTGTAGCATAGCTGCGGGTCTTACGGACTTCCGGATCTTTTATGATTTCCGGTGAAATTTGTTCGAAAAATAAATCACTGCGAGTCAGCCTTGCACTTTCGGTGTTAGTCCACGAGTCTTTGAGTTCTTTTGGCGATGACAAATTTTGATACGAGGGGATTTTTAATAGCGAATTTTTTCGTTTCATTTCAGGCGTAGAATTGGACTCGCTGCTTCGCGAAAGATTTGATAAACTCGAGGAGTCTTTATTGCTGTAGATGGAGGTGATATTTTCGCGTGATTGATATTTTTGTAGGCTTCTCCTGGCCGTTGGAGAGCCAAAAGCTTTCCTCGGTTCAAAATTCAAATCGTCTAATTTTACAGTTGTAAATTCGGTTGGACGGCCTATCACTTGGATTGGCGTGCTCGTAGTCATTCCGACGTCCCGTGTCCGAACCTTTAAAATAATAATTATTTTTATGCAATTTACAATACGATAAAAGATAATATTAAATAAGAAGTACATAATTCTCGCGTCATGAAAGTTTAGAAAGTACACTGACTCGCGTTATAACTATTAGAGCGAAAATTTTTGAGTTCTTTCATTAACCGTCAGAGAAAAGTCTAATTAATTAGACATATTTGTTACAAACAGTTAATGGGGGATAATTAATAACAAGAGCAAGCCTGCTGAACGGTTAAAAAAACAATTAATTATTTATAGAAACTGTTAACTAGAGAAGGCGTTTGAGGTATATAAATAAAAAAAAAAAAAAAGAAAAAAAATTAACCTGTTGGTGTGAAACTCCCACATCTCGCGTCATAACGCCACACATAGTTCCCATGTCCCTCGTGTTTACAGGAACGCATTTTTGTGGCAGTTTTCCCGATGAAAACGAATTGCTTCTCAGCTTATTTTGGATTTTCGAGTTCACTACGTCCTTTAGTAAATTATTCTGCTGGAAATTGTCGACAGTTTTCTCCAGCTTCTTCTTCTCTTCTTTCAGGACAATCATCTGAGCCTGTTTATTTTTTTTATTATTATTATGATAGAAAATAATAATCCACATTTTGGAAAATAATTTATTTAAAACGCAAAGTAAAATAAACTCAACACTATCTTTAAAATTGAAAGTTTATAATTTTTAAGCACGAGAGAAAAATAAAGAGAGTGGAAAGAATAACTTGGTGTTGACTGTAACAAGTTTTCCAGAATACTAAATGCATTGGCTGTTTAAATAGCGTTACAAGTAAAAAGAATTTATTTCACACAATGTACAATGTACTTTGTGTTATTACTATAGAATTTAGAAACGTCCATAAGCCGCCAAGGGGCATCAAAGCGAGAGGTGAGACATTAGACATTAGAGACTAGATATTAAAGTCCTACGTAGAAAAAATAAGGCTAGGTCTAGACTAAATTCAATTGAAGACTTTATGTTCAGGAATATTTAAATCAATGAAATTAAATCCAATTTTGTTTTTTTCAAATATTCTGGTATGTTTTTTAAAATATTTTAAGCTGGCTTGGCAAGTTGCATTCTGCAGACGCTACAGTCTATGTATCCCTGTGGCTTGTTTTTGATCGTTCAAAAATATATAGAGATCAGGTATATGGACAGTTTCAAAAAATTCACTGAGGCGTTAGAAGTACCAAGACAAAGTTTTCGTTCGTTTACTGCTCCAGTGTACAAAATGTACAATAATACAGGAAAGAAAATAAGTATTACCTTTAGCTTATATTAAGGCGCTTTTACTGCGAGATTCATTGAGAAAAATAAAAACTATACCTGTAGCATTGGGATCGCTTTTACTTGGTCCTCAAGCTCTCTCATTCTCTCAAGCGACATCGCCATTTGCTCTCTGATGTTCTGAAAGTGTTAAATATTGGTTCATTAGCGTCCCTAAAATAATGGAGTGTTGTGGGAGAGATAGAGGATGTTAAATATCAATTTAAGTGATCTTTTTCACTGATTTAGGGTCAAGATCGAATATTGTTTACCTGAAGCGCGCCTGCACTGAGATTTGAGTTTCCGCTCCCCACACTCGAGGCATCGAAATCCGTGATATGATCCGCGTGGATCGTGTGTTGAATTGCATGACCAATCGCCGCTCCATCTTTTAAATAAACAATTTTACGTAAATATACTCGTAATTATTGTATAATTTTTTATTAAGTAATTAAAATTGCATAATTTTCTGTGGGTTTTAATAATATAACTGGAGGTATGTGTTATTCACCCTTTTAGAAATATTTTTTCCCATATTAATTAGCATTGTAAGCATTATGCTTCACATACTCGAGTAATATAACGACTTGAGTCGGTAAGAGTACTCCGATAGATGATATTTTGCAGATAAGAGAGTTTATCACGCGATGAGACTCTCTCATTAATAGTTTAAATTAGAATCAGAGTATCAAGAAAACAACAAAGTCAGTATAGTAATAATTTACAGTTTTGTGTTCGTATTTTTCGTCTCTCTCGCTCGCTCGCTTTTTTTTTTTTTTTTTTGCATCAGTAGCTTCTGTGAAAGTAGTTAGACGTTTTCCATTATGTGAAACGGTATTTCATTTTAAACTCAGTCTTTAAAATTAATCCAGTTACTTAAAATTATCAGATGGTTTAAGTTTCAATCTTGACCGTTTGCAGGAAAAAAAAAAAAGGAACAAAGAGGTTGTTTTTTTCATAATATAGCTCGTTAGATGGATGAAAATTTATGTAATGGAAGATTGAATAAGTCGAGTAGGAGATCGTGAGCATAAATCATAAATATAATAATGAACCTAGTGATAATAATAATGTACATAATTTATTCGGGTGTGAGATATTACATACATAATAGAGTGTAAGTGTTGATACACTTGTGGATTAGTGCAAAACTTGATAATGAATTCAACTTGTTTCGCTCTACTCGGAGCAGATAATAGTATAAATATAAATATAAATATAAATATAAAAGAGTAGAGCAAAACTATAGGAGTATATATATATATATATATTTATATATTATATAGTTTTATTAACTTTGCCCCCGCAATTGACGTGAATGGAAATACTTGCAGACGGTCAATAGCACCTCCTATCCCTATCGCACTTGAGCAATGAGAAAAATATTATCCGACACGTTAACATTAATCGAAACACATTAGTCTTCTTTATATGTAACAATAATATTATTTATAAGGAACAATACTCAAGGAAAATTTATTATTTAAATTACAATTTTTTGTTTTTTATTAATTTATCACTTTATCTTATCACTCGCAATATATATATATATATATATATATATATATATATAACAATAAAAATTACATAACTAATAAATAATCTCGAGGTTGATATTTAAAATTAAAAAATAAAATAATTAAAAAGAAAATGAGTGTGTTGGCTTAAAAATTCTAAGTGAAGGAAGGCTGATGCGTGTTTTGCCACCGCGAGACCGCGTTTGACTGTTATGTTTCGCCGGTAAATCTACATCACTACATCACGAGTATTCGAGCAAGTACCTCTAAGACCGAAGCGGGACAAAGAGAAAGACTGACAGAGAAAAGGCTACCCGGACGAATCAACAGCCGACGAAGAGAACAATTCTATTATATTATTGTTATGGTGGTTAACTATAGAGGGAGGGGGATTATTTCTGCTCCTTCCTTCCGTTAACTCCGTTAAATAATTTCAATTATTATTTAAACAATTATTAGTTTTTTGTATCACTTAATTCCCGTTGATTAAACTAATTACTCCAATCAGTTGTCGATAAGAGATCGGTTGTTAAATAAACAAACAGATCACGGCGTTTGCGATTGTTTTTCAGGGTGACTAATGTCAGGGTTCTTTGATAAACCAATCGAGAATAAAATTTATTTATTAACAATCGAATGTTGATTTAAAATTCAGAATAATGAGTGTGAAAATTTAAAGAGCTGGAAGTTTTTTTATTATAATAAAATACTGGCAGTTGTTCGTTGAAATGAGAATAACTTGAGCGTTAAACGTCAAGCAGCATGGCAGTGGGCTGGTGGGACAGGTGGATAAGAGACCGCACCATATGTGTGAGTCGGTGGTCGCTGGCGCGCAAGGTTGCTCCAAAATTGTCTGGTCCGATATCTCTAATAGACCTGCAAGTCTTTTTTGTCCTGAACCTCGTTGTGCGATGGAAAAACATTGCAATTACCACCAGATGCCAGTTGATCATTTATTCCATAAAATACTACATTCAATTTAGTTGTCCTCTATATTTTTATAAGTATCATTCACATTTTCTGTTTTTATCCACTCGATTTATACTTTCTCACGTTTTTTAAATTTAAAACGGCTTAATTATATTTTTATAGCTTATTAATATGGATGACCTGTTTAGATAATTTGAATTTTTTTTAATTAAAGTCTATTGAAATTTATTAGAAAGTTTAAAATTTTGAATAATTTTAACGTTTCTTATTAATTTAATTTATATTTATAGTTTGTTTTTCTCAATAATTTTAGTCAAAAAATAATTCTCAGTATCGATGAAAAAAAAAAAAGGTTAACATAAAATTTAAATATATCTTCACAGCAAGTGATAAACAAAATAACTGTGTATTAATATTTAAAGAAGATATGAATATGCTGGTGTTGCAAAATCAAAAATCTTTTTTGAATAAACTAAATATAAAGGTGCTGAAAATCTGCTGGTAGTTGGTACCTGTTTGAATAGAAAAGTGATAGAAGGACAGGTACTTAGACAGCGTGAGAATTTTAAGCCAGCATTTTAGGAATTGTGTTATCGTCATGTGCTATTTAAAATCAAAAGTCTTCGCGCATAATATTGATTAGGAGGATGTCGAGTTATATTGGTACTCTAACATCTATTGCTGGTAGTAAACTTGTGAAAAATAAAATTTGTCCCATTATTCGGATAGTGGGTATGTCCTGAACCACTCCAGTTAATAACAGGTGGTAGCAGCTGTTTCCATGCACAGCAGTATTAAATTTAATATCTTCAACTTGCGCTTATAGCAAACGTACTTCCCGATCTTTTCATCAATGAACAGGAATTGAATATTTTTACAATATTTTACGATCTTATCCTCAACCTGCGGGTCATATTTATTCTTTAGATCTTCAATTCCTCTTCCTCTTTCGACTAAATAGATATACAAATACGAGTAAATTTTTTTTCGCTATTTATTTATTGCCAGAGAAATTCAAATGACAGCGCCATTTATTAAGCTTGCAATAATTCGAAAGTACCCTGTCGCAATTCAATTGGATAAAGTGAAATTTATGGACAATATCTTTAACGATATTTTTCATTTTCATTTTTACGTTACAAAACTTTTCAGTTATACTTCAACTTTGATTGTAATTAATTAATTTATTGTCTTGTGAGTTAAAAAGCTGGCTGGTAACATTAAAAAACGACCGAAAGAATAATCAGTGAAGCTATAAGCGGAAGCAGGTGGTTCCAGACACGCACTGCCGATTACGACTCAACTTCTAAAACTTGATTGCGCGGCGTATATTTGAACCGCCACCTCGCGTCGTAAAACTATCATCCCTTGACGGTTTGAAACTAAGACCGAGAAAGTCTTGTTTATTTTCAAAAAAATAAGAAGAAATATACAAGCATAGTTATTACGATGATCAAGAGGATTTTCACACCGCGATAAAATAATAACGTTGCAAAATTAGTAACTAACCAATTGTTTAAATTGTTCCCTATGAGAACGGAAGTTCGTACTACGGTATATAGACCTTAAGTGAATAATTATTTATATGTACATACACCTTGCACGTTATTGTTCTAAAAATAAATGGATAGACCGCGAAGATTTCATATAGTTTGGTAAACTTTCTTGAGAAATATAATTTTTTCTTCCAGTTGCTTTGAATTATAAAGATATAAGAAGCGTTGCAGTCTGATTTATAAAGCCTGTAAATGTATAAATCAAAGTATTTTCATTTTATTTATTTAAGCTGGTGTGAGATCTTCCCAGGAGAATTTGTTTCACTGATCTAGAGAAGTCAGCCAAGTCGTGACTATAATATATATATATATATATCAACTATCAGCGGGACAGAGCAGTCATCTTATTAAGAGAGAAAGCATCAAATAATTCAAATGATTAAGTAATGAAATTATTATGTTTTGAAACCTCCACTCGGGCATCAAGTGACGATAGGAATTTTAAAAAATAAAGAGAGAAATTAATAAAAATGCGCGGGTAGTCACGTGACACCTACCGGTTTCGCTCTGATTCCTGCGATCATAATTCTTGTAGGGTTTAGACAGTCGCTGCAAAGTCGCTTCAAAATCCCCGACTACGTCACTCAAGTCCAGGGCCGTCGAGTGTTGATGATGGTACGGGTGAGGATTGTTAACTCCGGGTCGACTGGTCTGGTGACCTGACCTCGGTAAGGTCGTTACTCCGTTTGAAACTCCTTCGTCCTGCTGTGATATTTTCGACAGTTCGTTTTCAAGTTCGCTGAATGTCGGGCTCACCTGAAAATTAATCGTTTCATTCAATTTTATAATTAGAGAATCGCGAGAATAATATTATCAGTAGTATTATTAAATTAATTACCAAGCCGAGTAGAATTTCCATAGATTGGCATTGTCTCCGTCTTTCGCGCTTCTTCCGTCTCTCGATGGTGTTTTTGTCAATATTTCCGGCTGCAACAGCCTCGCAGTACTCGACAAAATCCAAGTCAATGTGGTATCCATAAGGACAACAAATGCATTTGCTGCCTGAGGTTGATTCAGTAGACCCATAAGCCTGCTTTCCCACTGTATAAATAATTTAAACTATAGTTAATATTTATATTAATCGCTATAGCTATGTAAATTGTGGATGTTATAAAGGTTAATGACCAGCGGGGGTGCATAATAAGCCAAAATATGTTGTAACTATTGGCCACTTTCCAGCGACAGATTCAGTTATGATAATTATAATAATAATAATAATAATAATAATAATAATAATAATAATTTAACAAGTGTATGAAAGTTCGTTAGCCGTATATACACGTGTATATAATATATAGTAAAGACTGCGAGGAAAAGACGTTGGTTTGCACGTCACGGCTGCCGCGTTCTTACCCATCTTGTTTCGTTTCTTTGCATTATAATTCTTTTATGTCACCCGAAAATCCGTCAACCACAAGTAATTTATTTTAAATTCAAAGATATTCCACTACAATTACTATTGAGCTTATTTATAATTCACTCTAGGAACGAACACATTTTTAGAGAAAAAGGTTAAAATAAAAGGTAAAAATAAAAGTATGTCTGAACTCGGATTTTGCGAAGAAAATTGAATTAGTCACAGTAATTTACTAACCGTTTCCGTTGAAAACGCGGGGCGAGGATACGGTCAGTGCCATTTCTTCAGGGTCTCACGCTTCCTCGTTACGGATTCATCCCTTGTTTCCTGTAAAACATTAATTATCTTTTTAATTTATTTATTAAAATAAAAGTCCATGAAGAAATTTAAAAACATAAATTTTTATTTATTTTCCAAGATGTTTCGAATGCTTTCAATTAGTCAAGGAACGTGGAGCAATTACCACTCGCAAGATTTTAAAATTGTCATATTTAAAATGGGTTGTACGTGACATGTGTGGTATAGCGGTGTGGTGTGTACTACTCCTCCCCAACGCGAGCTTTTAAATACTTGAGAGCACTCTAAAATCTCAAGCCCACTCAGCTTCCTATTTCTCATTACTCTCATCCACTCTCCACTCTCCACTCTCCATACGCATAATCCATCTGTCCTTCTGCTCCGTTTTATTCCTCCAGTAGTACAGCAGTGAAAAAGTCAAATCAAACACACAAAAGTCTCGAGAAAATTGCCACTATTTATTTAAATTAACCCCTTGTACTTAAATTTTTTATATTTATTTATAAATCACAAATAACTAAGTCTAATTTAGTACCCGGATTTAAGGTCTGACGAGTTTTTTAATTTTTCTCAATTCTTTCCATCATCCATTGTGCCAAGAAAGATATATCTCATATACAGAATAAAGTACTCTCGCGGAATTCCCATATGATAAGATGTAACCGCGTCACGTACTGCGGGATAACAAATTGAGTAACGGGTTAAACTAAACAGCACTTGAACTTTTTAACAACTAGACATTATATATTATATGTTAAAAGATTAAAGAGGAGGCATCATTACATCTAAACAGAAAAAAAAAAAAAAAAAAAAAAAAAAAAAAAAAAACAAACAAAATCCCCGATTAAAGATTTAAAGATCCCGATTATCTGACACAAAGTTATCCGGCGATGGATAAAATGTATAAGAATATAAATATAAATATATATACAGCTTGTTAATTTGGCTGCAAGCGGCTCACGTACATCTATTGAGACGTGTGTCACAGTATATCTAGTTGGAATAATATATATATATATATGTATATATTTAACTGATGGGAGATGAAGGCGGCTATATCCAATGGAAAGTAAACATCGTGACGGACAAACCATGGCCTGCTTTATTCCAATGATGACAGACGGAGTTGGACGGCGGCACGTTTATTGTTTTATTTAAAACTCTCCAATACTTTTTTAACGAAAAAAAATTAAATATGTCGGAGATGACAGCACGACACGACTAGACGCGAGCCGATATACCAACCAATCTGCAGTCTGTAGTCTCCAATCGTGACTCTCGATCATACAATCGTGAAATCAAATAAAAGGGTTTTTTTCCTGCTTTTATATTATTAATACTTGCACAGAGCAATAACAAATAATGACTCTTAATATGTCTTACTGCAATCACAAGTGTTACATCAATAAATTCAATACATTCTTTGAATATATATCGTGTCTCATGTGTGATAAAATAAAATTGATAACAAACCAGCGATAAGAGGTTTATCTGTAGAATTTATAAAAAGTTATATTAGTTATATCTTTTTGGATTGAAGCGTAGAAGAGAAAATGGTGAATGAAAGTAACAAATTCACTGTACATAGTCTCATAAACAATAAATGTATTAATATGGCTTATAATAGTTGTTTAGCTGTCTTCACTGCTCCACAGTTGGTATATAAATATAAAATAATATATATTAGAGTGATGAGAACTAGGAAAATTATATACACTAGGTATATATTATTTTCCTTGTCGAGTGTCCGGAGTCTCTTGGCACTAGTTTCGGATAAGCATAAAGGGAAGAGATGAGAAGAGAGATTTTAATGAGTCGCAGAGCCACTAAAATAGAAGAAAAAGTATATTTCTTGAATATTTAAAAAAAAAACAAAAAGAATTTTGTCGACGAGAGTCGTTAAATTATTTAATAACTTTATTTAAATTTCCTTAAAGCTCTTTGTACTTAAAATTTATAAGATTTCTTTCGCCAGTTAATGTCTCGTATTTCAAGATTAAGATTTTTATTTTATTAAAAGGCGCGATTTATATTTTTGGTCCTTTTGTGCTCGGTAAGATTTTATTTATCGAATCTATCTCTTAAAGCTTTTCCGTCCGGAAGTGATAAAGAAGTTATTTTTATTTGTCGCGTCTAGAGATGAATGCCAATTGAATAATATTTAGAGAAAAATTAACCAAGAGTATGAGAGAAACGCCGGAAGTGTGTTAGTCGGATAAAAAATAGACAGGGAGAGAGATGATTTTTGAGGTGTCACGAAGAATTTTTTCGGCTAAATATAAATTTGTATTTTTATTTTAAAATAACCGTAACCGACGACCAAGATGAATAGAGTTAATATTAACCCTCAAAAGGGTTGTCTGATTGATGCCGTGACCCTTTTAACATTTTTATTATCAGCCTATTTATATATAAATATGATATATTAGAAAACCTCGAGATAAAAATACCATAAATAGCGATAATCTGATAATTTATTTAAGGATTAGTCACTGTACGTTAAAAAAATTAAATTAAAATGCTTTGAATTATTAAAGCGTTACCTGTTGATTAAAATTTATTTGTTTTTCAGATATTTTAAAAACCACTATAATTAATTCTTGAACCTTCGGCGGACGTAACACAGCTATATTAATTAGTAAATATCTTCCCAATGACGCACGAAGGTATATAATTTATCTCCGGGTTCTTAATCTTGTAATTTGTAATAAATATAATTATTAGTGAGCGTGAGTATTAATTTGAGCGAATCAATGCCCCGATGTGAAATTACTGAGCAGATAACTAACAATAGACATTTACTGTTCATCCATGCGATAATAATCGTATTCAAGAGATTAATTTTAGTGTCGTAATAAAAAAGGTTGCAATTTACCGTAAAAAAAAAGTTTACAGTTGAGTAAATAATTAACCAATCACTTAATTTATTCTTTTGAATTAAATTCAAAAAATTAAATATTTAAATTTCTCTGATTTTTAAATTTTACTTCAATTGAAAATTATTAATTAAAAATTAACTACATAAAGTACAACGGGGTTTTTAATATTTCAACTAAGCCTTTGAAAGATCAAGTAAAGCCCTTGTTCGTAAGAATAAGAAGTGAAATGAGAAATTTTTATTGGTCATTGTGTATTCAAAGGTATGATAGTAAAATATTGTGCTCATACAATAACAAAATGAAAATAAAAAATGATCAAGAATAAATAATAAAAGGCAACTTATATTATATAGCCTTTATATATGCTGTGTGTTTCTTTATACCCTTGCACTGGGTGTCAAGAAGAAAAATGTCCGAGGCAGTGACCTTGGACTCTGAAGTACCAAGTGTAAGCTAAAGGATATAATATTAAATATAATATTCCTCAGTATAAGCCAACAAGTTTTCTGCAATAAATATCATTAAATCGATCTGTATCATATTCTTCATTTAATTATTAATTTTTATATGAAAAATTAATATACTTAATATTGATGAAATAAAATATTATTCTCTGTCATCAAGATTTTCTCAAAATGAGTTTTGACACGCGACCATATTTGGATGCGTGAGTGGCATTTACACATATGAGATGGAGTCAAGATAAAAGGGACCCAAACCCGTCAGTTCCATCATCGTGACATTTCTCTCTGAATTGCCGCGTAAATAATCTTTACGACAATTTACACATATATATTCGCTATACATTTATTCATAAATCATAAAATAAAATATAACATATAATAATAATAATAATATATTAAATTACAGAGGAACGCGATAATATAAATAAAAGGGGGCCCATACTGTCACAAGAGCGGGGTCTGATGCAACAAAACGGGCCCGAGGCTACTTTGCGAGCTCATATCGTTACAGTATATGTACATATGTACAGCGAAGGCGTTTTATTTGTCGCGACTACGGTACACTTACAATAAATATTTGAGCTTACATATTTAATATTTGCGTGTCATGATTTTTTTTTTTTTTTTTTTTTTATTTCTTTATTTCCAAGCAAATAATCTATTAATAGAAAAATTAAATTAAAAAATATTTTATGTAAGCTACTGGTATTGAGAGTTTAAAATCATGAGCATAAGCAGCACTTGCTATCGGAATTAATGCTTCATTTAATAATAAAATACTTGAGTAATATGTGTAATTTAATCTCGCAACCGTTTTATTAAAGGTAACAGCCTGTATCTATATATATATATATAAAATATAAAATTTCAATGTATTAATGCAGCTAAACTAGAGTGTTACTTTCGGAGAACATTTTGACATGTTTTTATATTTAAAAGCGTGTGTGGTACGTTTTAATAAATACATAAATGAATGTGTAATATATGACAGAGAAAATATCTGCCCACGTTAAATTTATCAATTAATAATAAAATTGGTTATTAAAAGGCCATTAAATAATAATTATACAATAGGATTTATTGATTTAAATCCCTAAGTCCGTAGAATAAATTTTAAAGTGCGGCGCTTTACGGAAAAAATATTACCTGGCAATTAGGGATAATGGAGTGTCATAACCAAATTTGAGATGGTGAAAATTTCTATTGTAGAAATAATCCCAAAGTGTTAAAGATGCCTATCTGAAGTTTAACACAATGAGCGTCACACGTCAGGGTTGTTTTTCTTTCCCTCGTATTATTTTTTGGGCTTAACTGACGGATGATAATTATTTAACGATAATAATATAAATAATAATAATAATAATAATAATAATAATAATAATATGGCTGCTACGGTGAGCTTGAGCATGAGCATGAGTGTTTTTAACGTCGAACTGGTTTTTAGCACGTTTTTCCATACACGGAGAGGAGAGTCACACATGAGAAAACAAGAGGAGAGTTATAAGGTTTGTAACCGAAGGAGAGGGTGGTCGTAGGAGTTTCCGGACCACCATATATTACATACACTCAATGTCTACTTCATTGACTGCTCGACTGTACTTTTATAATTAGGATAACTTTCTTCGACCTCCTTTAACGCACTCTCATTGTCTATACAAACCTGTCAGAGTTAAATATCATTTATTTTATTCCTTATTAAAATTTAATAGTCTCACGATTTCAATCCACAAAGAAATTTTATGTTTAATTAAAAAATATTATTGATATGATTTCTTGCTTTGAATATCTTATATGAAGATATAAAAATATTAATACTAAAAATTTTTTTCTGTATAATGAAAAGTTATCAAATTAATCTCGGAAGAAATCTTAAAGATAAAATAAAATAACTAATAACATATGACATCTGTATTATCTTTAAAGACATCTTATTTACATTAAAACGTTATATTCTCGGCTCCGATTAACCCAACAAGTTTATAAACCCATGAAGCATGGTTTACATGGAATTAAAAGTAAGCGCATAATTTATAATTATCCATTAGATATATCTAATAAGCTTTTTATGCTTCTCAATCAAATGGGAATATAGAATTAATTCAATAATTTACCGCGGTGAGCAATTATTCAGATGCATTTTCGATTTAATGATAATAATATTAAATTGCAGAGCGATCTGATGTGAGTACAGAGGATTAAATATCAAAGTTTAGTCTTATTTGTAATTTGCATAAATTGTCGAGAGATTAAATAGATGCGAGTATATATATATATATATATATATATATGTAGTGTCTAGTGTCTAGTGTGCAGTGTGTTTACAGCAAAATATGATGCGTTCATTGCCATTACAAATCGAGTGAACGTTATTCAGTATAGTCTGTTAAGTCCACTGTACCTTTTATATCGTATTAACTTTACAGTTTATGTTTATATGTTTGATACTAAGACAAACTCAGTTAGTAGTATGTAGTAGCCGTATAGTAATTTAATGTTAATTTGACGTAAAGGTGGTACGTTAAATAAAAGTAACACTCAACTAGTCCATTGCATTTGTATAGATGTATAAATTGTACAATAAAAAGATCGAGTTGATCATCATCACACAGAGTTTGAGTTACACATTATGTTAACTCACAAGTTTACAACTAATATAGTCACTGCTCGATTACCGATTCGAGACATTGCCAGAAATGGCAAGTAGGTAAAGAAAACGATTCTATGAAATAAAACTCAATAGGATTAGATTCCATTCCTCACTACTTAGTCTTTAGTCTTTACTCCTTATTTACTATACTTACTGAGCGAGTCGACGACCGTGTCAAGTGTCAACGTTATGCAACATTTATTTCCAATAAATGTTTATTTACATTTATTGTAATTTATTTTTTACGAGTAGGACGTTAAGTCGACAATAAATGTCCGTACAACAATACACGCGGGATATACATCTATGTACATAATGAGAAATGTTTCAAGATAATAATAATAAAAATGAAAATACACGTTGTTACACGTGAATGAATTGCGCAAATAAATGACCGTGAATTTGGATACGTTTTTTAAATAAAAAAATATTTTCGAGGACTGATGAAGAACGATTAAAGATCGGGAGTGGTATTTTTACCTTTATAGCTTCTTCGTGATGTTACTTTTGCGTCATAATGCCGACTCACACAGTCAGGAAGCCAATAAACATCTCTATAAATTATTTATTATCAAAAAAACGTTTGTAAAAACGCGACCTAGTAATTTTATATAAACTTTTATTATTTTTTAATATTTCGTAATTAAAAATTGAGTTTCGTTTTTACTAAAGTTAGTCATAATGTGTAGTCAAGACTCCTAATTAATTTTTTTCGCAAAGAGTTAGCAAATTGCGTCAATAAATTTATATTTATAATTTATTCGTTTAAAATACCGATAATTGCTTGTACTCATGCATGCATTGATTTATTTGATTCACACGAGGACAAAAAGTAAATAAACCGGTGAATGAGCCGCACAATAATTAAAAGTCACCGGGTGGTTTCCTGGTGAATCGATTGCAAGAAAAAATCCCGATAAGAAAGAGAAAGCTAAATAAATACGCGCTTAACATAATTCGCTAATAAATTCTAATACTTTGAAAAAATAATCTACTAATTGGTAATTGAGTCAATAATAAATTGATAAATAAAAGTAAATTTTTTACTCTCGGGAATAATTGAATAAAATATGTCAGAGTCTTGTATACGTCGGTTATTTATTGAAGTCGTCCGTGGTTTTAATTAGTCGAGAAAGCATTAATTTAAATTGCAATGATAAGACTCATATATCAAGCCATAAACGTAAACTCTAATCTATTTAAATACATATGTACAAACATAACATAGACACAATCGGCTCTAAGCTAAAGTATAATAGTCTCAGGTGTTGTTCAAAGTCTACCGATCTTTAAGATATTTTTTTGGAGCAGTCACGCGGTCTGCCGTTATTGTCATACTTACGTGTAATATAATGATAATAATAATAATAATAATAGTAAAAAAGGAAAAAGGTATTATTGTACAAAAAATAATCCCAGTAATGGTATGAGAACGCACGTGCGCAGAAACTGAGCACAAGTTGGCTGACAATAAACCCCTGTATATGTACATCTGTGTAGTCGGAAGAACGGACGGTCCTTCTACTTCGGAATGAGAGAAGAGAAGAGAAGAAAGACGTGCCGCGAACAAACGATCCAAAAAGAGAGAATTAACCTGGGTCAGAAATAAAGTCACCAACCAGAGTAGAGTGTTTAAACTCCCCGGTATTAAGTTGAGTCGCGTAGAGGTTTACTCGTGTTGAGGTAAAGAATCAAGAATGAAAAAAAAAAAAATAAAAAATAAAATGAAACTAGATAGAGAATTAGTACGAGCCGCACCTGCGAATTGTACTCTACAATCTTTAGCTTATCGGTTCAGTTATACTACATTTCCTGGGTGGTTTTCGAGGCCGTTTACACAATTGCGGTGTTTCCGTCGATACTTTTTATTTCAAACACACATCGACCAGTACCGTTTACATATTTAACTATTTTTTAAACAAAAATATTAACTCTTGGATATAAATACTCAACTAAGTGTGTTTTATAAATAATATATAAGAAAAAGACGTGTGTATAATATGGTGACCCGTATATCTGCAGATATAGACATAAACTTGCATTAATCGGCGGATGATTGTTTACAATTATGCAACGTATACATATTGTATACACTCCACTCGTCATACGAGAAGACCAATTGAAAAGTTATTACCGGAACATCTGTAGTCATTCAAATTGCGTTTGTAATTTTATATTCATTTATTGTAATAATATTTATTATTTTTTATATCGTAGTACCTGGTAGTTTACTTTATTATTCAATTTTAAATTAATAGAATTAACCTTAATTATTTACTTCAAGTTACGCAAGCGTGTTTGTGAAATAAAATAATATTAGAAAATAATAAATTAACATGTTAATTTAAATAGTCAAAAACAAGATAAAAATATACATTAATAGTAAGATTATTAAATAGACTGATGAACTTTGTCAAGCGATAGGAGCCAGAAGAGTGGGAGGAGTACATTTTTTTTACATATTTTATTTATTACTATGATTTTTACTCGCATATAGAGCAATAAAGCCAGTACAGACCGATAAGAGTAATCAGTACCGATATATATATATATATATATATACAATATGTCAGGGTGTTACGGTGGAGTTTTTTATTTACAGCTTAGATTTGATTAGTTTGATTGATTTAGCCTGGTTATGGTTAGTTATTTATTTATTTAGTTATTATCGAGTAAAGTAATGTGATGCCCAGCCAGAGTAGAACATGCAATGGGTGTACGTAAAAAGCTAACAATGATTCAGTCGAGAACATAAATAGGTTCTGGTGCGGTACGGGTACACAACCCACTTGTATGTCATATGTAATACACTAATATAATACTGAAAACCAATTCTGTCGCGTCTATGATTTGTCGCTACTAATTTAACCAGCCTTAAAGCTGTTTGTTTTATTTTTTTTTTCGTATAGAATTCTCCTGGACCCGGTTGAGCTTTTTTAGGGCAATCAGTACTTACAGTACATGTATGTACTGTACGGTAAATAATATCAAAATGGAATTTAACGTTATATTAGCCCACGCGTCCATTGTGTGTCAAATACGAGTATAGAGTGGTATTATGTGTACACAATAAATATCAAGGCAAATGTTATTTTCTATTTCCTTGTTATGTTTTATTATTATCACTGTAAAAGTTTAAGGAGCAAGCTGATGTCTTTCTTGATAAATGTCATCAAGTTTTCATTTTTATTTTTATTTATATTTATGTTTGCTGATTAAATATTTATTTACATGTCGAGTCACTTGTGTTTCTTTAAAAAGTAAACAATCCATGATATGTTTATATTTTATTCAACAATCTAATGCAGTTGTTATGATTTACCTTGATGGGGGAGAGGGGTCACATGTTATGTGACATCACCGTTTATTACCATATTATCTTGGTAATCTAGTATTATATATATATATATATATATATATATATTAATAAAAATAAATAAATAATTTACCTGCGAGTCGTGAGTTTGAAATTCGCTCCATAATCCGAAGATAGTTTCTTCTTGAGTGTATTATTTGAAATAATAAAATAATTGATAGGATAGACACAGAAGATGAGCACAAGAGTGTTTTTTATTTATTAAATAATTGTCCAAGTGAACAGGGGATTTAAACGGTGTTGTTTTACCGAGAGAGAGGTAACTGCAGCGGATTCTGTGAGATCCGGTGCGCGACTCCCGACTCAGTCGCTTTCGAGCCTGTCCCCTCTTCTTTCCGCGCGAATAAGAAAAAACAACTAAATCGAGTATATAGTACCAGAGACTGGAGCGAGAGAATCGAGATGTGTTGCCTTGAGTGATTGGGAGTAGGAGAAAGAAAGAGCTAGTCTTCATCTCCCACTTGCTGGTCTCATCCCGAGAAGCCAAGACTCGAGACCCGAGGACGCGGGATGCTGCGGCAGGTTGCTTTGAGAACAAGATGGAGCAAGACGGAATAGAACAACAGTACCTATAATAATAATCTCAAGAGCAAGAATAAGGATAAGGATAAGGATAACGAGGAAGGAATTTACTCGATAGAGAAAGGAACAAAAGGCTTCAGGGGGTCCAAGGTCTCGCCATCAGACCATCACAGTTCCTGATGCCCAGGTATATTGATGCTGGGCCCTCAAGACCTTTTTACTTTTTACTTTTTACTTTTTACTTTTTACTCGCTATTGCTACACTCACATGTACTTTCTTTTCTCAAAAAATATTATTTCCAAGCAAGAAAATTCTTTATCCACAATTTTCTTTAATAAAATGAATTTTTTTATCAATCTGGGTTGTTAATAAATAGTCGAATTATATTTACACAAGTTTATTAAGTGTTTGATAGAGAGGATCGTACGCCCACTTTGTTATCCAGCACGTAGAGGACATAAACCTACATTACTTAACTTTTTATAGTATTTTTTTTTTTTTTTTTTTTTTTTTTTTTAAATTTATTTAACGGGTAACTGTAGAATGTCATCAAGATAGCCGTCATTCCTCGGTATTGCTGTATAATAGAACACTCTTGGTCTAGAGTCTAGAGTCTGGCCCAGAACAACCAAACAAGAAGATCCAACAAGAGAGGAGGAGAAGATAATTTATAGATATGTTTAGGAGGCTTTTATAAACTCATATATACCAAGCATAACTTTATTTTTTACTAAATATACTACTACTTAAATTTTGAAAGTCCTTCTTTCTTCCTTTCTTCCGCAGAATTGCGAGCACTAATTTATGTTGGCAGGTGGCATGGTTTCCCGCTGAGATTTTTAGGGAATCACTGGTACTTTTGTTGAGATTATGATAATAATAAAATATAAAGAACATAATGGGAATATGTATATCTGGTGAAATATTTGAGAATGGTGATTCAACGGTGATTATCTTGGATTGTCGAGTGCGAAAGTAAATTTGGTGGTACAAAGAGTGTAGACCAGCTGGTGTATTTCGGTGGCGACTGCCAGATTTACCGTTGTATTTCTAGAGCCACTTGTAACTTGTACTTTTATTTAAATATAAAACCAATTCTCGTTAACTCATCGCGGTGATTTATTAATATTCTTAACCCTGACTGATGCACTACCCCGAGAAAAAAAACAAAATAAAAATATTGTTTATCATATCACCATCAGCGAGGAATTATTCCATTAAACACGTTATCCGAGGTGGATGCACCACTCAGAGACTTACTCAATCAAGAGTCAACTTGTCAGAAAAAAAGGAAACAATTTAGGCAATTTATTATATTAAAATAAAATGATGGATTAAGAAATATTATTACGTGGTATTTTTAACGGATTATGTCATATTGTTAAATGCGTGTGTTCGGTTATGATCTTCAGATGTATAATGGATAATATTAACAGTAACCATTTACCATTTAGCATTTACCTTCTTATATACTCATATCATGAGAGACACGTACGTCAATGGTCAATAGTGTAAAAGGAATTTCTGGTGGGTGGACCTGTTTGTTATGTGCTGGAAGATCTGGACCTCACGGCTAGTTCATTCAAAGTTTTATTATTATTTAAAATACATTCAATCAGATAATCATTTTTCATTATTTTTTAATAATTGATGATAGTTTGAATAATTTCATTTTTTTTTTTAATAGATTATATTTTGAAGAAAGTAGTTAACAATTTACAAGGAATTGTTTTAAATATTTTTAAAAAGCTCCAGTGCGTAGTTTTACAACTTTAGTTAACGATCATTTATATAACAATTATTTAATTGATATAATGATGATTGATTTTGAGGTATGTTATTGGTATACAAACGCCGTGATAATTATTTATACATGTTACAATATATACGTTCATTTACAATGAGTAATTATTTTTTTTTATTTAATATAATACGTAGAATAATTATTTTTTAGATTTGAGATTATTTCTTCAGTCTAAAGTATAAATTTATATATGGAAGATATATATGAATATACTGATGAAATTAATCGTTTATAAAAAATTCATTAGTTATTTTTTTTTAATAAATTAAAGATTTGGCTTATTTATTTTTAATATCATTAATATTATTTTCTTTACTTTAAAACTATATATATATATATATATATATATATATATATATATATATATATAAAAGAATTAAGGAATTCCTTGACCTTTTTATAGTCTTCCTTTATATATAATTTTAGAACATCAAAATTTATTTGAGTTTAACGATTATTTTATTTATTTTCATTTAATTATTTAAAGATAATAGACAAGTAGACAAAGACAAAATTTAGTTTGTTTATTATTTCGAAATAGCAATTTTAATAATAATGTTTGTGTTAAGTTATAATTAAAATATTAATCATGTCTACTTTCCAAATATCTTTAAATAACTCCAAAATTCTCTATAAAAAAAATTAGTGCCTGAGGAAAAAGGAAAAATAAAAATAAAAGACTTTAGTTATATATAAATAAATATAAAACATATATTTTTAATTAAATGCCACAAATTTTAATAATTTAAGTGGAACGTGAAATGAACGCAGGCCACCAGTAAAGAAGAAATTTATTTATTCAAGTGTAAAGTTATAATCATTGACGTTTAGTATCTAAGTGATCTAAGTACATTGATATAGAAAAAAAAAATTAAAAAAAAAAAGTAATAATAAATAGCAAAAGGTAATAATTCAAACGGCAAACTTCTAAGTATTTAAATAACCGAGAAAACGCTAGTTGCTAAAATTACCATAAATGACTTGACTTATTCATTCCACATTCCGTAATAATAAAATAAAAAAACAAAAATAATAAAACCGTACTTGAAAAAATTACGGAAGAGCTTTCTACATCGTAAAAAAATAAATGACATTATTATTTTATGTACTATTACAATTATTAATTATTAATATCCAATAAAAATAATAATAATAATAATAGTAATCATTTTTTTTTTTTTTTTTTTTTTTTTTTACGTAGATCATCTACAACAATCCGCGTACTCTCCACAAGAACAGGCTCTAGACAATTGTAATTTTATTTTACAATCTTACGTCAGTGTTTTTTTTTTTTTTTTTTTACTATATGTATATACATTTTTTTAATTAAATCTAATACATGTGAACAATACGTAATTTCATTGTTTATGAATTGTTTTTTAAAACTACTATCCTAACAAGTCAATCACGCAACCTATTATCATTTGTTTTTTATTCTTTTCATTAATAATAATAATTATAAATTTACTACCAATTAAATGATTAGACTACAGATGCACAATTATTTGGAATATCTCACTCAGCTTAATTGTACATGAGACATTGCGAAATGTCTCTTTATAACAAACAAAATAATTAAACAAATAAGCAAGATTTGTCAGAATAATTAAACACATGCACTTGTCATTTTTTTTTTTCACGTTAATTTTACAAAACAATTATAGTGACAAATCTTGCGCTTAACACTGGATTTACAAGTAAACATCAAAATGTATTACACACTTTAATTTTAAGTAAAGCTGCCCAACTGCTCAATAGAATTTAAATGGCAAGTTCAGCACTTTCGACTTTGTTGATTTTCAGAGAGTCTGTATTATTTTAACAAATAAAAGAAATAAATCAATTATTTAATGTTTTTTAAATTATACAAGGAAGCACATGACTCTGAAAAATCAACAATCAGCAGGGACATTTGAGCCTACCATCATTCCTCAGTATTCTACTGTACGTTACACGTAAATATCACAATCTATGAGGAAATAACGCGTTCATACTTTACAAATTTTTTTTCAGAGTAACAATCTAAAAAAAATTATTACAAACAACAATATTTCAAGATGAATAAATAAAGCCTGATTTGTAAACTTTTATAATTTTTTTGTTTAACTTTTTTCGTTTCTTTTCATTCACGCGAATTCACAAATTATTAATTATGAGGCAAAAAATTTATCGAGGTATTTGTAAAAACCCAAAGGTCGGATTAAATTTAACACACATAACACATATATTACGTCAATAAAATAATAATAATAATAATAATTAAATCAACTATATAATATCATTCTAATCATCATAAAAAGAGTATAGTCGTATTTAAGCGTAAGAATACAATAAAAAGTGTCTTGGATAATTAAAAAAGACACATACAGGAGCAGTCTTAGATTAACAACAATAATTAATATAATATATTTATATATAAGTAATAATTAGTAAGACTATACGATTAATTACTATAAATAAATTTACATACAACTGACTTGACTTGACGTGTGGGATATTTTTTATTTATACGTCTGACATTATTGCCATTCGCCTATTTTTATTGAGCATTTATAATTAAATATTTATTATTTTAACTATAATAATTCACACGGGGCATTATAAAATGAATACTAGCAGTTACTAATACTCGTTAAATATTATTATCTATTATTTCATTGGACTTATTTCTTTAATTGTTTGTTCGATTAATTTGTGATCAATATCAAGAGGCCTTAATAATAATAATAATAATAATAATAATAATAATAATAAAAATTTTTCTAACAATAAATAGATATAATTATACAAGTATTTTCTTCTTTCTATTTAAATTTACTACGAGCAAATAGCCTCACATAATTTTCTTTGTTGTATAATTATATCTACATAAAGTTAGTAGTTACATTTTTCGTGAGACTTACAAATAATTTAAAAATCAAAGACAAATTTCAACAGTTTAATTTAGGCTGTTAATTTTAAATTCGATGCAATTATTTAATTTTTTTTTTTTAAACATATAATGGCCTACAGTAAATGCAATTTTCTGTGGTTTTATTAAAAGTAAGTTAAAAAATGGAGTGTTGTTTAATGATTTAATACCCGTACTCATTTAAATTAAAAAAAAATTTTTTTTCACATTAATATAATTATTTTTATTAATTTATACTAATTCACGCGCACAATTAATGACAGAGAGACAAAAAAAAAAAGAAATAAAAGAGATCACATTACGAATAAAAAAATATAAACATCTAGTACGAAGGACATATTTAAAACTGAAAATTTAAGCTCTACGTTATCGTGTCAAAGTAATAATAATAATTATCGTAATAAATATTTACAGTATTTAAAAATATCAAAGCCATGATAATTTACAGCACTCATGCAGATTTAAAATTTCGTCAACGAATAAAAGCATAAAAATTTAATTACAAATCGGAGTAATTTAAAATGAAAGCCCGGAATAAATTAAATCAATTCAATCGTCATATCTGGTAAAATAAAACAAAGGGATAAAAACAATGATAATTAAAAAAAAAAAAAGAAAAAAAAACCTAAATTTGATGATTGTTGTGGTTATGACGAAGATTATTAGTGACCCCACTCGACGGGCTTTGGACTCGGCACTGCAGTAATTGGCGAAGAAGCAAACAAGGCATACGGTCATCATTATCAGCAGCAGCAGCAGTAGCAGCAGCACGTTCGAGTCCTCAGCCCGGAGTGGGTGGGATCTTATGTCAGTGAATATTGAAGTTGTACTGCTTACGGGTGGAGGTGATACGCAGCCACCGGCTGACTGCGAGAGGTTCAGGGTGGCAGTTAGACCAGGCAATGTCACTAAAGTGTGACGAGTAGGGCGTCGAAGTCGTGGTAGCTTCGACCTGGATAGACCGAGGGAATTCCGTTTGGTGATGATACTCATGCTTGCTTCGCTTGGAAGACCTACTGGTGACGTTGCTGCTGCTGCTGCTGGTGGTACTGGAACTGCCCATGGGACTGAGGAGAAGAGAATTAGTATGATTGGCGCTGGCGTTATTATTGTTAAGCCTTTTGCCGTTAGCGAGCTTCGGGTGATCCAGTTGGTCATCAAACGCAAGACTGGGCATCGACGAGCCTTGATAACTGTTTCTGGCCAAGGCTGACCCAGTCGCTGCTGCCATCGATGAAGGCTGATGCTGATGACCAGATGATGATGATGATGATGACGACGATAATTGTTGCTGTTGTTGTTGTTGTTGTTGTTGTTGTTGTAACAAACTGTTACTGTTGATGTTGATGTTTATGCTGTTGTTGGCAGTGATGTTGCTGCCAGGATTCACCCGAGGAATCTGCATGACGACTTGGGCTGGCTTGGTGTCTTTGAAGATCGACACCGGGGAGTAGAGAGTCATGCTCTCGGACTCTTCGTCACACGTGGTCTCGCCTTCGAGGACAGTGCTGGGAAGTTGGGGCTGGGGCGCCGCTAGCGAGGCTGAAACAACCGAGGACAGGCTCGAGGTAACGGGGATCAGCGTGGATATGTGCTGAGACGTGTCGTTGGCGATCGGGGACAGCGAAGGCAGCACCACTGAAATTGGAGGCAGCATTGACTTGGAAGTGGTTGGCGCCAATGACGACGGTGTTGATGATGATGATGACGAAGGTGGTGGTGGCGGCCCAGTTGATGGCGGGGATGAGGATACCACGGCAGGATTGACGGGATTGGCAGCAGCAGACCTGGAGGCCTCTAGTCTCAATTCCTCATTAGCAAAATCCTCTTCCAGCTTAGTCTAAAAAATAAGAAAGGAGCGTTTTTGCAGAGTTGAGATACGTGGATTCTGTTGAATGACGGTGGCTTAAGTATCTTATATTGGCGGGTCGTAAAGTATGACCCAAAAAGGAACCATGCCTTACAGGTTTAGTGGAGCCATGCGGGGCCAGACACCGATAAAGCAAATCAACAGCCTGTAATGACAAAAACAAAAACAAGTATCAACTGTGTGACACCCCGATCATTTTACTTTTGCTTTGTAATATCATTCATTTTTTTTTTTTTTTCTATCAATACACGACGCTCCAAATGGCTCCAGCGGTTTTCGAGCCTATTTGTACTTTTCATTCCGCCAATTATTTTAAAAAAATAAAAATAATAAAACTATCGATAAGTTATTAAGCGTGTGACGATTGAATTGATTTTACAAAACCTTGGGAATTAATCATTTTTTAAATATTTCCACAGAAAATTAAATTTACTGGTGACAATTTATACAAAAATGATTAATTATAAATCTCACGGTTTTAAAATAATTTAGAATTTTTTTTTTTTTTTTTTTTTTTTTTTTACAAAATATTATTTATCACCAGTATTATTTTTTTATATATAAATAACCAACAAATTCAATAGAATTTTTCATAATAACATTTCAGTGTACTTTGCTGAATTATCTTCAATAAATACCATCATCAATAAAAATTTTTTACAAAAAATAAACTCTACACTGTACATGACAAATATTTACAACTCCATAAACTTGATAAATACAAATGAAAAAAAAATAAAAATAAAAATATATATATATATTACAATATTAGTACTAGTAATAATGATAATGGTAACGTCAAAAGTTTAACAATAATGGAAAAATCTTAATTGTTGATAATATTCAAAAGAAAAACTGATTAATAATCAATCTCTGGAGAACTACAGTCAAACGTTTGGGACAAAGTGATTGAGTTATCCCTACCTTTGGCAGTGGATAAGTGTCCGGTAGAGATAAAACAGGCGGTGACCCAGGAGCCTCGGTGTCGTTGCTGTTTCCAACAAGACCAACACCAGCCGTCGCCCCAGAAACTCCGGTCAATCCTGACACGGAAGCCGTCGAGACAGTTACAGTCCCGGTGACGGTTACTTTCGGCGTCCTATTCGGGAGCTCCTTCGAAGCCCGGTGGTCGGCGAGGAGCTTGTCGAAGCTTTTGCTCCGACCGATGACTGTTCTACGCAGCGAGACCGTGTGAGCCTTGCAGGTGAGGGACCTGGTGCAGGTTTTCCCCGTCTCCTCGATCCAGACCCCGCAGTGCCTGTCCGGGTCGTACTCTCTGTCCTTGACGAGCCCGCGGTCCGCCTTGAGACGCTTTCGCCTTTGCCCGGGGCCCGTCGTGGACGTAGACGTCGCACCAGTGGAGTTTGCTGAGGTACCGTTGTTGCTATTGCTGTTGGTGGTGGTGCTGTTGCTGGTATTGTTGTTGCTGGTGGCAGTGGTGGTGTTCCCGTTGCTGCCGGGGCTTTTGACCGGACTGGAGGGCACCCCGGAGAGGGTTGAGTTGCCGGAGATCCCAATCGAGTCGAGTGGCGACCTCGGCGACGCGTTCGCCAACGCCGGCTGCTGGAGGTTTGCTTGCTCGGCATTCCTTTTGACCGACGAGTAGTTGATTTTAGAGTTGCTCGTGGCTGAGCTATTCCCACCGCCTGTGGCGGTCCCAACCGAGGAGGGCGTCGTTGGTTGGCTCTTTTTGGTGAGCTTCGAGACTTTGCAATATGGGGTTTTCACGGGGGTCTTAGAAGCTGGTGCTGATGGTGGAGGCAAGTTGACAGTCCCCGATGCGTGTCGACTCTCTGAAAATTCATTTTATGTTTAATAATGCTTGATTTATATATTTAAAATAATAATAATAATAATAATTACCCATATGCTGGATGAGAGCCTGAGGTTTGACGATGGCATTACAAATCTCGCAGACGACCCCATAGAATGTGTCTCGCTCCGGGCAAAATCCATAAAGATCAATGTCTGAAAGTTATAAACAATATCTTGGGGCACTGTTGGACTCGTACGATGTGTTGACGATTGTTTTAATAACTTTTTTAAAATATCTAGTTCCATTCTATTTATTATTTACACTAATTTATAAATAAATAATAAAACCGTTACCATCTGCTGACAGGCGAGTAACGGAGCTCGCTGGTTCCGCTTCTGGTTCCTCATCACCTACAACACAATAAATTATTATATTTAATAATAAAAAATAAATTTACAAGCATCACTGTTTTATTCAATGACACTCTTGCCATTAAACTCTTAAATAATTCTTAAATAAATTTTATAACTATGCTAAGTAATTCAATAAATAAACACAGTCTACTTTAAAACACACGTCATCACTGAAATATTATTTTCCAAATAAATATTTTTAATAAACAATAAATTTAATGATCCAAAAAATAAATAATTCATACTTGTTGGTAAATACTCGATAAATTATTTTTTAAGATAAAATTACATAACCATTCAAAATAATAATATTTAAAAAAAAAAAATAATAAAATGTCACATAATTATTTAGAGTAAAAAAAATATAAATGTATTGGTAAATTGTGAATCATGACAAAGAGCCAGCCCGGGTTAGGTTATGTTTGCTCGACGCCCGATCCACTTTTGACTTGGAGAAAAATGGGGTTAATATTTAAGAAAATCACAAAGTAAACAACAATCACAGTAGAATAAACAAAGTACATACTCAGTGGCTTGTCTCTGCCGATCCTCTCGATCCAGCTGGACCAGGGTTGGCCGTGAAAAAACGTTGGGCTGTCACTTCCCGACATTACCGCGGCACTAATATTTAAGTCACAGAGCGTGTGTGTGTGTGTGTGTGAGTGTTGCAATCTAAAGTGGTGGTAGTGTCAGACTGAGACTCACAATCAACCAGCTAAGTACTTTTAGACTTAGACTTAGACGTTGCTCTGTAAGTGTATATGTTGTGATATTACCTTGTATTCAACCTTCCCATCTATAGCACACACCACACAGTATTTACTCAGACTACTTGAGTCGAGTATTAAACACAAACATAACCTCACACATATTAACCATACACTTATTAACGTTTACCCATCCATCTCATGTAATGCTGCACCTATATGCAGAATGAATGAATGAGTACTGGACTATACTCTATATACTCGTGCACAAGCCGCGAGAAGCGCTTGTGTTGTGGTATGCTGGTATGACCATGATGACTTTAATATAAATGTCGCACGCCGGTGATCACGGTGATCAAGCCCAGTAGAGCCTCTTTCTCTTTTTTCTTTTTCTCTTTCGCTCTAGTCACATTACATCGACACGAGGTTCACCACGTTGGACCAAATCCCATTAATTTCTGATAACAAATAAAATAAATTTTTGTCAATACTGACCAGCTGATAAACCCTTTCAACAATTGATCAATCAATAACAATGTAATGAATTTATTTGATGAAAGTTAATGATACTAAAGTTAGCCGACGTTTTTAATTTTTTTTTTTTTAATAATTAAATTAGAACAAAAAAATATTTTTAAAAAATTGCACTTACAGTTTTTAAAGTTTTTTATAAGTGTAATTTTTTTTGCAGTCATTTTTTCAATAAAAATAAATTTTTTTAATCTTCAAGTGTCGCCTAACTCAATTTTTATTGAAAGTTAATGTAGCATACATTTAATAATTAAAAAAATTTTATAACAAATAAATTATGGCAAAAAAAAAAAATTGACATCTAAAAATTAAAAAAAAAAAAATTAAAAATGCAATTTTTTGGAACAAATCGGTTTGTTAAATAAAATTAAAAAATTGTCAATTTATTTAAGACATCTAGAGTTTAATTAAAGTTTTATTGTTATTATTACTACAGCGCAATGATTTATGACCAGACGGTTTGGGTAATTTGAATAATCGTATGCGTAAGGGCATAATAAATAACCGGTTTCATCCCATGGGTATGCTTAATTTTTTATTTTAATTACAAAAAAACGTATTTTTAAAATTAAGTACTTTAATTATGTATAAAAATTAATTGGATCTTCTGGTAGAAGGAAGGCTGGTAGAAGAAACGGAGCTAGGTCCACCACGATGTTCTTCGATTTGCTTCCAATTGAGGTACCAGAAGGGCTGAGACTCTTTGGGCCAGGATTGGATCCTGTTGATCAGATCAACGTCCCCATGAGCGTCAACAGGAAGATTTAATATTTGCGGCGAGTTTGGTTGGATGTTTATTCTATTATCTGTTTCCGTGACATTTTGTCCTTCGCTCGGATCTTGAATCTGGTTTGATGTCTGATATTGAGGCAGCACAGCTGGCAGACGATCACCCGTACCAGCATATGGTGGTCTTTGGGATTGTACGACTACAATAGACACTGCTAATACTAAACAGTATTTGTTCTGTAAATAAAATTCATATTTTATGATTTATAAGTATTTTATAAATTTATTTTTTTTTTTAATATTTTAAGACTTTACCATTTTTTTAATAATTATTTTAAATGTGATAATAAATAAAAAATAACTCGGTGAGGAAGAGCTGAAGACACGCACGTGATCGTGAGCTAAATTGCAATACGAGAACAACACAAGCTGCTTTCCTTTTTATAATCCATCGGACTTTTATCCTATTCAGCCCCCACCCATCCCAACATTCGCGACTCATTCTGGGAAATTTCGCGAGAGTAAGAGAGACTTTTTACTTTACTTGGAGTAAATTATTCCGGTGGTTAATCCCGATGATGTCTTCGGAAAATAAACAAATAAATAAGTCAGAGAAAAAAGATTCGATCTATTAATTTCCTAAAATCGATAAATATATTTATCGATTTGCCATTTCGTAATTTTATTTATATAGAGTCTAGAAAAATATTTACTGCAAAGTATGGATGACATAATGTTGCTATCGCAATTTATGATAAATCCAGGCGTAAAACCATTGAGCCATATGGCAAATTATCAACAATTGGACAATTATCGTAATAAAATAACAGCAAGAAGATAATACTTGGGGCCTTGAGTGAATCCAGTTGAATTTTGTCGCTTGTCCTGATGTAAACAATAGAACAGCAGACGAGTGATGCGCATATGTGACAACAGACAATGGGTTTTTCCAACAATGAGCGGTGAATATTCGCTGGTTATCTTCATGTGCTGATTTTCAACGAGTCTTTGTCTTCAGGGTTAAAAACTCAGTAATTGTTAAAAATATTATAAAAATTGAATTTTATAATTAAAAAAAGTTTTCTATTTAATTATAATGTTTTTTTTTTTTGGCCCTTGCGATGCATAAATATTGATTTATTCTTCAGAATTTAAAGATATACCGTTGCTTGCAGTCTCGTTTCAATGACGTCATCAAAGTTGGGTATTTTGCGGGCATTGGCGTCGTATCTTCTTCACTGGACTATACGTCCGGTTTTCGGGTTTCCTATATCTCGGGATTTATGGTTTTATTTATCGCTATGATCTCAGATAAGACAACAAAGTTGGGGTTTTAAAAGAACAATTGAAGAGTATAAATTAAGAAATATATATATATATATATACGCAGACTCAAAGGTTATATTACTTGAGACAGTAAAGTATATTTATCTTATATAATGGCATATACTTCCTTGAAGATCATTTTTTCACATACCCAACGATAATGAATCTTGAGTTACAGCCACCATAAAAAAATACCCTTATTTTTATGAATTTGACTTTCAAAAATACAAAAAAAAATATATATATTTTTTTATTTTTTTACTGTCTAAATATTTCTTTAGAGCAATTTAAAATTAAAAAAACCACGTGTCAAATTAGATTATTGCCATAATTGGAATTAGTGAATCAAATTTACAATTCACAACATCTCTCTCATTTGTCATCACCCAATTTTCACATAAAACCATGATTATAACTAAGAATACAAATTGCTTTAATGACTAAATTACATCTTCTCTATTAAATAAACGATGACAGCGTTATAAACTCACTGTAAATTATTATCGAGCACAGCTGAGTTTTTCTTCACTCTAAAAATTTTATTAACTCTTTAATGTTATTGATTAAAATATTTTCTTCACTAATTATATTATTAAATTTAATTTATTAAAATCACTAGCTCAATAATTAAATTGATTTTTTAAAAAAGAGATAAAACTTGATCTATTTAATAACTGCATTAGTTAAAGTATAAATACAATTAAAAAATTACACATCAGAATTAAGAAAATAAATATGTCATATTTAAATGAATTTAATTTGATGTAACTAATCCTCCAATAAAATAGTTGATGCAGTTAAGGTACAGAGTATATAAACCTCTGTAGAGCTAGATGAATTTATTAGATCTCAAGTGACAGTTCATCACCATGATGCTCTTTCAGCTAATACCGTTCTTTTTGGGTAAGAAAACATTATTTATTTCTTCTTTAAACAAATAAATCAATAAATCAATTAATTGGTCAATTTTAGCTGCGCAGGTTAGCGACAAAGAAACATGGAAATTCGGGCCAGAGTATACTTTTTCCGGAGAAGTTAAGATGATAACTTCTCTGGACAGTGATAAAGGTCAATATCTTGGTACCGGTCTCTATTTAAAACTCAAATGTCGGCCACGTGAGCCCGACGTTCTCCGATGTAAAATGGACGATACAAAGATCACCCGGCTGAATGTCCAAGACGGATTCAATCCAGAAAAAGCAACACCGGCTACCAACGAAACTTACCGCCCGTTCAATGCCATCGAAGTGCCGTTTGAAATAAAATTCAACGACCGAGGAATCGAAAGTTACGTGCTTGAGAAGAGCGATCCAGTTTTGCCGGATTTTTGTGTCAACATGGCGCGGTTGGTCGCCAATCAATTGACCATTGGAACAGATCTTTCGGACACGATGAAACCAACATACAGGTCTTTTGAAAACTTCACAGTCGGCGAGTGCGACGTCGACTTCAAAGTCACTCGATCTCCGTTCAAAGATGAAGCCAGTAATAAGGAGAATAAATTTGATTTATCTCCGCTGGAAAAATTGGGAAAGCTCAACGGCGAAATCATGCTAATTGAGAAGAAAAGAAATGTTAAAGAGTGTCTCAGATGTGTCGCTCCTTTTTTTGGTACTCGTTATACTCTTGGACTCGTCTACAGAGATGTTTTGAGTCTTCTGGTAAGTATTTTCTTCTTTTTCAAATTATTTTTAAAGTTTAAAATTTAATTGAATATTTATTTCCATAGAAAACATCAGACAGCAAGATAGAAATATCTAAAAATAAATTTGTAAGTGAAACAAACAACGAGAACGACCTGTACGACCAGAACCGGAAGAAACTGGGCAAAGTTTTGGACCACGTGAAGCTAACTCTCGAGTCTATTTCCCCGGCCAAAGATCAGCTTCCTACTTTCATTAGCCCGATCATCAAAGGAGTTCTCCCTGATAAATGTGACAAAGATCCCAACAGTCAATACTAATAATTAATTAATTAATTAATTAATTAATTAATTAATTAATTAATAGAGTTTTATAATGTAAATCAATGCCTATTTTATGTATCCGTATTTGTGAAGAAAATAAAGGAATTAATCATAGGTAGTGTCTTTCAGTCCTAACACCAATTAACGTCTCAATGTTACGGATGATTGTGAGGATGACCTTGACATGCAAGATCTCGGGTTGCTTGAATTACCCAATTTAATTAACAAATAGCCGAGCAAATGTAAAAATACATATTAAAGATAAGTATAGCCAATTGGAATAATGGTATGTAAGTGATCGTGGTTAGAGTAGTCAACATATAAGGGGACGGTCTCGTGTTATAAAAACCAGTAAAGTATTCCTGACTCTTGAATCATGATGATCATTACTCTACTCCCATTTTTACTTGGTAAGTATTTGAATAATATTTTTGAATAACTATACCCAAAATTTAATCTAATTTACTTATATAATCATCATCATCATCATCATCCCATCACTTGTCCTTTATTGAATATAATTGTGACTTTCAGCGGCGAGATTCGACTCTGGGCACGACCCGGAGGTTTGGAAACGCGGAGCGGAAGTGACATATTTAATTCAAAACCACGCAACCAAGATATACTCGAACGATCATGGAAAAGCGAATTACTCTGACATGTCCTTTGACGTGCAGACGATGCTGACATGTCAATCGATAGAATCCAAGGCATATTGCTTCTACCACGACACTAAAGTTAAATCAGCGTACCTAGGAGACTTAAAACGCGGAAGGTCTGAGATAAAGTCCGTTGAGCTGGACATCTGGACCAAGAAAACCCTCCAGCAGGATGCATTAACCATTGACTTTACCAAAAACGGAATGGGCACCGTCTGGGTCGCCATTGAAGTGGAGCCAATTGGTCGCAATATGATGGGAGCTCTCGCCCAGCCCCTGGACATCGGTCTGGACTTTTCTTCAGCATTGACTGGAAACTTTGAAACAAAAGTAAACACTTCCAGAGGAAATTGTCGGTCCAAATTTTTGGTGACACGGTCTCCAGCTCTTAGTCACCAGAAGAAACTCCCCGCGAGTTTGTTTTTAGTTGCTCGACCCGATGAAGACTTGAACCGACCTATTGAGATCTCTCGCATGATGGAAATGGATGGCGACAAATGTGACGATCGCGCTTTCTACTATTCGTTCTTTATGAATAGAGAAAATCGTCACACTAAGGACACCGATGTTGAAATCAAATTCGTAAATATCATTATTGACTTTTAAATTAATTATCAGGGCAATTATTAATGTAAAATTTATTACTTTTGTTGCAGAATTCATTTGAAAATTTCATGACCATCAGCAATGCCAACTTTACATCCTTCTCCAAAGTAAAAGTATCAATGACTGATCACCGAGACAAATCTAAATACATTATTGAAGAGTCTGCAAGCTTAACTTTGCAGAAAATTGAACCGATGCTGTGTGAAAAGGATAAATACAATGAATTCAACAGGGATTGCTCCAGTGAAGAAATAAATAATTACGCTGGATAATTTTTTTATAAAAAAATATAATTGATTGCTTTAAAATATTTATATTAAATAATTAAGCTTGTTAATGTAAATCACAGTTGAAGAGTACACAATAAAGTAATTTGAAACAATTAAAATTATTTATTAAAACCTTTTTCAAATGTATTGGACAAAGTTTGTTAATTTGTGAATTAGTTTTTCATCTCGATCCAAAGTTACCGAGATTTATTGTCAGGAGGATGGGGAGCCAATGGAGAATCAACTAGATCATCGTCTTGAGGTCTCTATTGAGGTCTTTGAGCTTCCCCGGCTTTGGAGCTTCAGTGCTCGAGTGACATCGAATTGAAATATTTTCTAGGTAGCATTTAAATTATATCTTAAAAATTCTAAATAAAATTTGTTGGAATGTCAGAGTTGTGAGTAATGCGACTGTTCATGTGTCTCAATTATATTAATGCAGGCGTATAAATTTAATGAAAATTATCTGGGTAATTGGTTTGAAGACAAGTGTCAGTATAAAAGGAGCCACAGAATAGGGAATTTAACCAATCTGAAAAATAACTTGAGTCTATCATGAAGTTTCTTATTTTACCTCTGCTGGTCGGTGAGTTTTATAAATTTATTACTTCCTTATTGTACTTATTGAAATAAATCAATTAATAGTTACTAATTAAATAAAATTTTATTTATGAATTAAAAGTGAGCCAGCTGGAGCACAGCGACTCGTGGATGAATAAATTAGTGATCTACAATGTGACGTACAATGCAGAAATGATTCCGAGGGTGAACGAGACCCAGGAGTCCAACCACAAAATGTCTTTCAACTTGACAACGCAGTTGAAGTGTCGGCCAATTGAGATGACTCTGAAAGAGATGCAGTGTTATCTGGAAGACTCCAAGATGCTTTTGGGGCTTCACAATTCAACAGACTCTTCTTCGCCGCCGAAAGTGATTCCTGGTGTTGGATTGATAGAGCCGGCTACTGGCGTTCACTTTGAGCTGAAAATGGATGCATTGGGTATCAAGGAAATGGTCGTTTCCTCTAATATTTCCCCGCTTATTCTCGATAAATTGCGATACTTAGTAAACCAGCTGCATATTGGAATAGATATGAAGGGTAAACCCGAGGGAGCTTATAAAAACTGGGAGAATTTCACCACGGGTGAATGCTTGACTACTTTTAATGTTGAATTGCAGGAGCATAAGACTATACACTCGGTCACGCATGAAAAAACCGGAAAATACAAAATGTGGACGCCCAATATGCGAGTTTCAATTAACAAGACCAGAGATTTGAATCATTGCAAAATTATTTCTCCATATTTCTTCGGAAGTCGCGAAGGATGGCGCGAGAATCCAAAAGTGTCTGTTAATATTGTGAGTACTTTTATATTTATATTTATTTTGTTTGATTAATTTATTCTGATGAATAAATATTATTTCTATTTATGCAGACAAGTTCAAAGAGCTCGGTAGTTGTCGACAGAGGAGCCTTCATATCTTCAACTCAGACGACCTTAGAGCTCCACGAGCTTCAAGATTCAAACAACACTTCTGAGTACAAATTGATGCGTGAGAATGTAACTGTTGTGTTTGATTCGATAATTAATGATGAGCATAATGCGACGGTCATTGAAAATTCAGCATCTGCGGGGATTATAACTGGATTTTGGCTTCATGATAATAATAAAAATAAAAATAATAATAATAATGTTAATAAATCATCTGAGGAGAGCAAGGAAACTGAAAAAATCAAAGAAAGTAAAGAAAGCAATGAGAGTAACTCTGAAGAAGAAAAATAAGATGATTAATAAGACTACACTGGTCAAAAAAATTAATATTTAAATACATTTATTAATTAAGAGTATTTTTATAAATAAGTTTACGTAATAATTTTGAGTGTTGAATAAATATACCGTCTGTTGATTAAAAATTTAATTATTTATTGAAATCTTTTGTTAAATTTTAATTTACATGGCTCCATCTGTTGAGCAAAAAGAATTACTAGTATTTGCATATGTAAAAAAAGATGAACAAACTTTTTGCTTATACTACTACTGTTATGTCGGGCTCAAAGTTCGACATTTTTATCTTATAACAAATGAAATTTAATTATTCATTTATAATTTTATGTTTAAAAAACTAATGACAAACATTTATTTTTTATTATAAATTTTTTATTTTGTATTAGTCATAGTTCAATGTTTATCTGAAATTAAAATAATATTCTCAAAGGTTTCAAAATTCAAATCTTATAGTTAGATTAGATTTAAAATTCTAACGGATAAAATTTCAATACATTTTTTTTATAAGTATAATAGTTATTATTTAAAGAAAATTTTACAATAAACAAATATTGAACAATGAAATTCTAAAACGATACAACGAATAAAAAAAAAATATACAAATGATCGAAGCAAGAAAAAATATTTCTACAATTAAATAATTAAATTCAAAATAATCAAATTCGAAATAATTAAGATATGCTTAATTGAACTACATATTTTATTCATACGTTTAAATAAATAATTTAATGCAAAATTTGTCACAGTAAATAATTTAATGTAAAACAGTACACATGTATGTCTTTGTTTATGCATAAATGCGCTTACGTATACACAAACACATAGATGTATAATAGAGCAGCATAAGAGTAAGAGAGAAACGATATTGTACTCTGACCCGCAAGTAGAGAGGGGACTCATGCAACATTATAAAAAAAATCTAAGAGAGAGGTCAAGGGCTCAAGGAAATAGAAAAATAATTTGACATTGTTTCTCCCATCTAGTAAAAATAAGTAACGCCCTAAAATTCGAGACCTTTACGATTTTCAACAAAAATCTCTCTCGTTGTCCTGACGTCCTAGTGTTAACATCGAAAAAGTTTTTGTAAGTTTCAATGATACCACGCGTTAGATTCAAAAGAAATTGTTAGTGAAGTAAATTCAAATTATGTAAAGAAGCAGTTACAATGATATTTAAGTAAGTCCTTATAATTAAGATTTTTATGTTTGTTTTAATAATTCAAATCTTTGTATTATAATTTTAGAATATATTTATTAAATTGAATTCATTTTTTTTTTTTTTTTATATTATAACTTCAACCTCTTCCCATAAGCTTTAGATCCTTATCTATTAGCCTAACGGCTAGGATAAAAATAATTAAATTTTAGTTGCAAGTTCGACGATAACACTACACTGAATAATAATTTTATATCCAAAGGTTAAAAATATTTAATTAACACCAGCGATTTGCTTAATGATTATTATATTGATTTATTATGTAATTAAACTTAAATAAGCTAACAAAGATTACTGAGAGTTTTTAATATCTTAATAAATACTTAGCTGTTGATTGCAAATTAAACGATCTTTATCTAATCTATGCTAAATTTTTATCTTATTAAAAGAAATGATTTTCTGATATTACTTTTTAAATCTGATAAATTTTTTTGGTAACAATATTCTAGGTCTTCAACAACTAAAATGTAAATAAAATAATCTTTATCATTTTACTTATTTAAATAATAATACGTCCCAAATACATACAGCAAATATTAAGTATGAATAAATACACATTATTATCATTATTATCTTTATCTTCATTTTTGATAAATTTTTCGCCTCGACCAAACCGCTCGGATCAGTAGTCCGAAAGTATTCAAGCGTTAAAATGGATCGCTGGACAGGGAAGTTCGCGATCGTCACCGGAGCAAGTTCAGGAATCGGCAAGTCGATCACCAGAGAGTTAGTTTCTGCTGGTGTCAATGTTCTGGGACTGGCTCGTCGTGAAAACAGACTCCAGGAGCTGTCTGAAAATTTGAAATTCTCAAAAGGCGCCTTCTATTATTTGAAATGCGACCTTTGTAATGAGGAAGACATACTCAAGGCCTTTGAATACGTGGAGAATAATTTTCAACAGGTTGATATTTTAATAAACAATGCTGGTATTATGCTTGGTGGCTCTCTCGCTGGTAAATATCACTATTTTTATATTTTTATAGCATTTTAATTAATTAAAAAATTATTTAGAGACAACCATAGAAGACTATCGCACACTTCTGGATCTGAATGTCCTCGCGCCTGCTCTCTGCATCCAAGAAGCTCTCAAATTAATGCGCAAGCATAAAAATGAAGCTCATATTATCAATATTAACAGGCATATTATATTTACTGATAAAAATATATATAATTTTTCTGATAATTATATTTATTTTACAGTGTTTTCGGTCTTAATGCAAGAGCGGCGGATTTACCGATAAATCTGTACCCTGCGAGCAAATACGCGTTGCATGCAATGACTGAGACGTTAAAAAAAGAAATCAGAGATAACAATGATAATATTCGAGTCACTGTAAGTTTTTTTTTTTTAATTCTTCAAAACATTTCTTTCAAAACAATTCTTCAAAACATTCAAAATGTTTATTCTTGATTGGAGTTAATTTTTGATCAGTAAAATGATAATAATTATTTAAAATTTTCCAGGGAATCTATCCTAGCGCAACAAATACGGAACTGTTTGATTTATCAGAAAAACTTGATCATGTATTGAATGTAATACCCGCTCTGGAGAGTAAGGACGTTGCTGATTCCATAATGTTTGCGCTATCAGTCCCACCGCATGTTCAAGTATGTACTCGAGTACTCAACTATTTAAATTTACTAGAAAAAAAAAAAAACACTCAACTAAACCGTTTTAATTTTGCAGATTGATCAGCTAGTTGTTAGCGGCGTACCCAGCAAACAATGAAAATGATGTAATGATAATTCAGAATAAAATAAATTGTTTACTTTGAAAATAAGACTGTGTAATTTATATTTTCAACGAGTCATTGCATAAGTGTGAAGTTTCAATTAAGAATCTTTTATCAATTAAAAAAGATGAGTCAAAGTAAGCATAAGCAATATGATTGATAATTTCTTGATGCATTTTCAGAATGTCAATTTACATAGTAGTCATAGAAAACTTACTAATAATATATTTATGAATCAATTTACATTGAGTAGGTAATGGTAATTAATAATTGTTATGATTGATAATAAAAGACAAAGTTTATACAAAGTAATCGCGCAAATTGCTGCGAGGCATACGAATAAGACCTTGAAAAGTGCAGCTTCATGATGACTTTGTAAAATAAAATAAAACCAATTATCTCCTTTAATCGTACTTTTTTTTTATTATTTTTCTGCTAATAACAGACAAGAGTGGGTATTTATTCACTGAAACTGGTTGGGTATAACTTGAATGCAAGTGCACTTATTCAGCAGTATCGCGTTAATCGTCTGTAAGAATGGATCGTTGGGTAGGAAAGTCTGCTATTGTCACCGGAGTTAGCTCCGGAATCGGAGAAATTATCGTTGAAAAATTAGTTTATGCTGGTGTTAACGTTTTGGGGCTAGCTCGTCGCGAAGACAGGCTCCAAGCATTAGCTCAACGTTTCAAAGGTGCCAAAGGAAAGTTCCATTATCTTAAATGTGATCTTCGCAACGAGCAGGACATTCTGAAGGCCTTTGCTTGCGCCGAAAAAACTTTTGGTTGCCTTGACATTTTGGTAAACAATGCTGGAGTATTTTTCATTGCTCCTTTTGATGGTAAAGTTTTAATCAGATGTTATTTCTTCATCTATTAATCATCAATTGTTTTCTTATTACATTTATTTAAATATTTTAGCTGCAAAAACTGAAGACTATCGATCACTTATGGACATAAATGTCCTCGCTCCGGCTATTTGCATTCGCGAAGCTCTCAAATTGATGCGTAAACACAAAAATGATGGTCATATTATTAACATCAACAGGTAAATAATATTTATTTATTTTATTTTATTGTAGTTATTATTATCAATAATATTTTTAATGTTTTCAGTGTTGCTGGTCATAATGCGGTAATATCAGAGGTGCCTATGAATTTATATCCGGCGAGTAAATTTGCTTTGCGAGCAATGACAGAAACATTGAAGAGAGAGATTAAATTGAAACAAGATAAAATTCGAGTTACTGTAAATTTTTTTTTTAAATAATTTATAATTATGACATAAGTAATATATATCTTTTCTTCTTTAAAAAAAAAGGGAATACACCCAGGATTAGTTAAAACGGAAATATTAAATGCATTTGGTGACAAAACCAATGAATTATTAGATAAAATGCCGTACATGGAAAGCAAAGACGTTGCTGATTGTGTTATATTTGCACTTTCAATGCCGCAAAATGTTCAGGTCAGTACTTAATTATATATTTAAAATTGTTAAAAAATAAAAAACGTAATCAAAGTTTTTACAGAAATAAAATAATAAATTAATTGTTTTAGATCGACGAGCTTACTTGCACCGCAATTGCAGTATAGAATACGAACTATAAAATCGCTGTTTCTATGACTAGACTTTTGTATAGTAAATAAAATAAAAATATAAAAAAAATTGTGGTAATTTAATTATTTTTGTTATTTAAATAGAATACTCTTTAAAAAGATGTTGTTATATTATTCTACTTTACTTTAATCAAGAGCAATTGGATAATTTGTTATCTTTTGTTGGGGATCCATTTACTGGGGAACGAATACGGGTTTAACAGAACTCTCGCTTTATATTCTCAAAGTATTTTTAAACGACAAGACCATGAGTGACTGGTTTCTTCCTTATTTCTTCAGTGAGTGTCTTAATATATTCTTATTTTTAAAAAATTTATTAATAAAATTATTTCTTGAACAGTTGCGCTGGTAAGTGATCCGCTGATCACCAGATCCGAGTATTTTTTTATATTCCGGAGTCTGGAGGAAAAACAACAAGATCTTGTAACAAAAGAGATCTCTGAAATAACTGCTGGAGTAAGATGTCGAGTAGTACGACCAGAAGCGACGCGGTGTACTATTGACAGCTTGAATATTCACACGAAGATGAACAATCATGAACATTCAGAAAAAATCCAAGTTGATTGTGATGAAGTAAAATTTTGTGAACCCTTTGAAATAATATTCAATTCTACGGGAGTCGAGTCGCTTTTGATGAGTGATGAGCTCAAGAATTCTCAGATATCCACCGTTTCGGATATCGCGAATCTCATGAATGTACAGTGGGTAAAAGCAATCTCCAAAAAACAAGACGTAATACAAGAAAGTACAATCCATGGGGAATGCATTTCTGCAATATCTTTTAAAGAATTGAATGAAGGTAGATTGAAGGGCAGACTCTTCCCTCCTGAAATAACCCTCAAGTACAATTCTTCTATAAATATCGTTAACGTTTATTTAAAATCGAGGGATGTTAAGTCATGCTCAAGAGGTAGAGTTACAATTTCAGAAAATATCTTTTCTTCATTGAAAAATTTCGAACATCGTACTGTAATTTCCCCGGATTTAATTGATTCTGCTATAAAGAAGGAAATTATTTTCACCACCGATGGAGGTAAAATTAATATTGAGCGCTTAAATCATCTATATGTAAAGAAAGTTCGGCTAATTACTGATACTGAACTACCAGCAATTATCAATCCTGTTTCTGTACCATTTTTATCCTTATGAAGATAAAACTGAAAAAAAAAAAAAAAAAAAAAAAAAAAATTACTTTCAAGGACTGTAAATCATTTTTAGGAGTATTTTTCATTTTTAGGATTGTGCAGAAATTAATTTAATTTATTAAACTTGTACACTTAATTATAATCTTTCAAATTTTTAATAAAAGACGTCAAATTATTTGAATATTTTTTTTTTTATAATTTAAAATAAAATTTTTGATTTTTTAATGTGAAAATATTTTTAATTAAAAGATAATTCTGATTAAATAATGTTACGATTGTTAACATATGAAAGTTCAATCACTACGTAATTTATATACGTTGATATTATATCAATATCTTCACACTGCAAGTGTATGTAAAATAAAACCTTGCTTTCAAGATATACGTAAGTATATTATATGTAAAGATATAATATTAAATATTGAATATCAGAAATAACTCTCTGTAATCAAATAAAGTCTTCAGTACTTAATTAAACCCCGTGGAGGATGGAGCGCTGGTTGGGAAAACTCGCGGTTGTCACTGGAGCCAGCTCTGGAATAGGCGAAGCTATTTCCAAAGTACTTGTTGCTAATGGGCTGAACGTTCTGGGTCTAGCTCGTCGCGAAGACAAGCTCAAGGAGTTGACAGAGCTTAATAATTCATCCACGGGCAAGTTTCACTTTATGAAATGTGATTTGTATAACGAAAGCGACATTTTGAAGGCCTTTAATTTTGCCGAGAGTAATTTCGGCGGGGTCCATGTTCTTGTTAACAATGCGGGAACTATTAGATCCAGCACACTCGCAGGTAATTTATGTTTTTACTTAAAAATTTATTAAAAAATAATTTTGGGTGGTATTTTTAGCTGTAAAGACGTCAGATATTCGCGAAGTTGTCAATTTGAATCTAATTGCTCCTGCAATTTGCATCAGAGAAGCTCTTAAGTCGATGCGTAATCACAAAAATGAAGCTCACATTTTCAATATTAATAGGTAAAATTTTTATTAAAATCAATAATAATAATAATAATAATAATAATTAAAAAATAAAAATGCAATTGATACAGCGAAATAAGATATCTAGTTTATAAAATTACAAGCAAAAGTATTAGCTTTCATTACAATTTGATATTTATTTTTTTATCAATAGTATTTATGGTATCAATGCAACATACCCGCCATTGCCGATTAATTTATATCCAGGGAGTAAATTTGGAATGAGAGCTGTCACTGATATTCTTAAATTGGAAATTCGTCAGAATAAAGATAATATTCGTGTTACAGTAAATTTTTTTTCTCTTTAATTATATTTAATATTTTTTTGATTAATTTATGAATGAATTAATTTTTTTAAACAGGGTCTCTACCCAGGATTGGTAAAAACTGAAATTATTTCACTTGGCGGATTCAATCCGGACATGTACAAAATTCTCCCGTACTTGGAGCCAAAAGATTTGGCTGACTGTTTGGTATTTGCTCTATCTGCACCCCCGCATGTCCAAGTAAACAATTTTTTTTATTTTTATTAATAATTTTTAATTAAATGAATCTTATTTCAGGTTGACGACTTGGTGATTAATCCAGTGAAACGTTAATTACTGAATTAACAGAAATAAAAATGATAAATAAAATGCTTGTAGATTGTATTTAAGGTTTAGAGGAAAAATCTAAAATTTGTAAGCTAATAAATTGAATAAAGCCGCAGTTGGGAAAGCAGCAAACAGAAAGAAATAAAAATATTATTGAATCAAGTACTTGGTAAATTGTATATCCGTTAATTTATCTTTAACGCTCGACTAGATCGAGTATTTCGATGTAATTTATTGAACATTGGTATCCGTACGCGACTGGAGTTTAGCGGGAAGATTATTATTGAGTCAACCTGCCGATCCGCAGAGAAATAAAGTCTCTTAGCTAGCAGATAAAAAAAGGTATGAAGCAGCACCATCAGCAGACGCTTCAAAAGCTCAACATTTTATTCAGTGACATCAGTTTGTTTTTGAATTTCGTCATTCACGGTGCTCTGTTACAACCTCTGCTCTACTTAAGCTGACGTTTATCTTATTAACAATAATAATACCAATAATACAAGTTATAAAATGAGCCGTGTACCTGGTACACTATCAATAGATTCTTTAACTTACGACAATAACGCCCAGACGCGACATTTTATTTGTCGAAATGTTTTCAAAAAATACTGTCAGTACTTTTTTGTATTCATTATTCTCAGTTTTATTTTCATAGTATGCTACGTGTTGTTCAGTTTTCCGATTTGTCCATTAATCGGTTGGATCATCCATCATAAATGGTAAATATATATTTTTATTATACTATTTTTATTTCATTTTATTTTAAATATTTTATTTTTTTCTAGCGGAAACTAAATTCTGCACACAATATAACATTTGCGCGGGCTTATTTGTATCTCAATGTAAATTCAATAGCCAATAAAGAGCCAGCGTCCATTTTTGTGCTTGTCGAGCTTCATACTATGTCATTAAAGTTTTAGCAGTCACTAGACAATTTTATTAAACAAAAAATAATTTTTAAAAAATTTTACATGTCAATTTTTTATCATAATTTATTTGTCATAATTATTATTATTAAATATATGTATTACATTAATTTTCATAAATTTTTTTTACAGCTTAAAGTATATATTGATTGCTTTAATTGAAAAATTTATGAAATACAAAGTTATAATATTTATTTAGAATTTAGTGAATGTAATTTTCTAATCTATAATATAATAATCAAAACGATTATCCAATTAAACGGGTGATGAATGTCAATCCGATGAGCCGAGTGCTTTTTAAGTACAGTGCAATTTCGCAATTTATATTAATATAATACCCATCAAGTCAGAATTAATATAAAAGCCAACGTAAGTAACTTCAATCGGTTATTTTGTTGCCGCTACAGAATCTTAGCTAACGTTACGGGATGAAGACACTCAGTTTGATACCATTTGTCAGTGAGTATTTCAAATTATCATTACTTTATCTCAAAAAGTGTATTAATTAATCAATAAATATAAATAAATAAAAAAAAAAAAATTACAGTCGGGTTGATTGGATTCGAGACGTGTCGAGAGGAGTCACCGGAGCTATGGAAGTTTGGACCGGAGTATTTATTTAAATTCGGAGTAAATTTGGCAATTGTAAAGGAACTTCCAGATCTGAAATTATGTGTAAACGCAACAATGTCTGTGAAATGCCGACCTTTCTCAACAAAAGCTGAAGAAGAATTTACCGATGCGCTTCAGTGCTACGTCCAGGATACCGAGAAGGTAAACTATAACGTAGATGACGAAGGTACTAAAATTTTGAACAGCGATGAAGACTCCCAGAAGCTGGTGACCAAGCTTATTGGCCAGAAGTTTGAAATTATTTACGAGAAACGCGGGATTAAGGAGTTGAAGGTCCCGACTTCGATTCAGGGTGCGCAAATCAATATCTTTCGGATGATTGCCAGCCATTTGGATTTCGGATTTGATAAATTTGACAAGGGAGGAGAGAGATTCGCGTTCGTCGAAGTCGTCGCTCCGGAAAAGTCCCTTATTGGAAAGTGTGAGACCGCCTTCGAAGTCTCCAAACAGATAAAGTTCAAAGGCATGCGCTGGGACAGTAAGTGTGGGGACAAATTGCATATTGAGACGTTTGCTTACGGGGATAAGAGCCCGATGATTGCCATGGATAAGATAAGAGATGTCAAAAAATGTACCAAGATAAGTCCTACTATTTTTGGAGAAGTTCATAACCGACTTATACCTGCTATTTTGAATATTACAATGGTAATAAATTTTATTTTAATAGTTTATTAGCAATCTTGCAGTCACTATGTGACACTGCCGTGACTTGTGAACTATAAATAAATAAAATTTTGCTTTATTGAATAATTACTTTTGTTGAATTGCACTGTGTACTTTTTTAAATATTGAGGTTTTTAAAGATATAAGCTCATGTTACACTCATCAAGAGCTTTCATTTGAATACCCACATGCATTTTGATATATTTTTCATATATACATATAAATAATATATATATATATATATAAATATATGAAAAATTGATGTGGGTACTCAAATGAAAGGTTTTGATGAGTGTAACATCGGGATGAGCTTATACCTTTAAAAATGTTAATAGTTTACAAGATGCAAGGACATTTCTTAAATAATATAGATAATTGTAATTTGGATATTTCAGCAATCTTCGGTCACCACGTTTGTCGTAGCACCTCATGGCTTCCAGTCTCACAGCCAAAATATTGGAACGATGAAGTATAATTCTAATATGGTTAAAAATAATGATGGAAAACTGGGTGACAGTCATGAACATATTAATCTGTATTTGGAATCCATTGAACCAGCGACTGATGAATTCAAACGAATTACTCCATCTCATTCTGCTACAATATTCGCGAATGATCCGCTAATTGTAAATTAATAATTAATTTTTTTAATTACTATAATAAAACTACAAGTGCATGAATAATAAAGACTTTTTTTAGCTGTAAGATTGAATTTATTTAAATAATGATTACATAATATAAACCATGTACACTCTCAATCTAATAAATGATTTTATAAAAAATGAAATCACTGATTAGCCTTTAAAAACTCGTATTCGAGTGATAAAAAATTGCAATCGCCCCTTTAGGGATAAAGTTATTCGTATTTAGCGATTTATTTATAATATAAATGTATAAATAAATTTTTAAAAGTTTACGTATAAATTTTACAAAGATTTAAGACTTTTAAAACGCTGATATAATATTTTATTATTTAATATATAAATGTATGTTTTTATTTTTTAAATACGAAGCAATAATTGGGTTAACCTTTTAATCTTAGTCTCCGATTAATTATTATTTAATAATCGCTTATTTTATTTATTCAAAGACTTTATCAATACTACCTAGTAATTATATAAGTACAAAGGGTAATAATATATAAATAAATCGTAAAATTAATATTACTCTATCGACATTTCCGTACGTATTAATGGCACGTCGATTACACATTATTGTGCGCATTAATTTCATAACAATAAAATTATACAATTAAACTACTAACTGTAACTATTACTATAATAATAATAATAATAATAATAATAATAATATAAATTATTATTATTGGAATGCCATACATAATTTTGATTTAATTTGGTGTAAAAAAAAAAAAAATATAAGAAAGTTATAAATTTGAACTACTCCCAGAAAATCAGTCGAACAAAAAACATTTGATTCCCGTAATTGAATTATTTATCTAATCGATCAAGTAGACATATATACAATGCATTAATCATACAATATATAATTACGTAAAAAAAAAAAAAAAAAAAAAAAGGACTTTGTATATAAAATAAAAATAATTAATAAATTTATAAATCTATGATTGTCCATTGACATTATTGACGTTATTGGTATTGTTAACGTTGTTTACATTATTAACGTTATTTTGCGTGACGTTATTTTGCTTGGAATCCATGTTTGGAACGTAATCAGTGGCCATTAAACAAACAAATACTGTCATCACCATTTTCTGTTTAACTTCTGTTATATCTTCCGGCAAAGCATAAACCCTCGCTCCGCATTTTCTTGCTAATGAAATAGCATACTTGGCATTGTCCAAATTATCCTGAAATTAATATCAAGTATTATTAAGATATATAAAATAAAAAGTATGAATTTAAATGAATAAAAAAATTACCTCTTCAGTTTCGCTGGTTTTTACCAAGTCATAGTTGACAATACCAGGCTTGATGGCGTCAATAAGATCGAGAACAGGTCTTCCAGTAGAGATAACGTCATCCTGGAAACTCTTGATGCTGCTGGTTTTACCCGCAGCCTGAAGTTTGGAATTAACCCACTGTACGATTTCTTTCTCGACAGTTTTTCCAGAATTTCCAACAAGACCCGACAAAACAGAGAGAGTGTAGCTTCTCATCAGCTGCCAAATCAAAGCAAGAGTAAGCGTAGCGTTACCGTCATTGATATCCTGACCAGCGATTCCTACCAAAGAAAAGTTCATTTTCTTTCCCAAGTCCACGGCGTAGTTGCAATTTTCCAGTTTCTCCATAAACTTTCTGAGCTTGCTGAATTTAGTGTGAACCTTCGGCCAATTAACAGTACCGGGTTTGATAATATCATAGAGCTGGAAGATAACGAGCCCGTCTGCGAGATCAGAGTAGAGCCAATTAACGTGAGGCGAGACTCCCATTGAATTCATCCAGTTTCTGTATGTCTTTTCCTCGCGGGTCTCCTCCAGAGAACCTAGGTCCTCAATATTCTCCGCGGGCTTGTCGAGACCCGGATAATTGTTGAACATGTTAGCGACAAACGCCAAATTTAATTTGTAAATGCCGTTGACGACGTCGTTGGGAGTGACGAAGCTTCTGCAGCCGAGCTTGGCGGCTTGCTGGAGCATTATCTCGGCTCTTGTAACGTGATTAGGCTCCATTAGCGCTTCGAGAGTAACTCCGGTCCCGCTCGGTGCAATTTGCTTTATCAAATAAGTGTAGACCTCAGAGTCGGTGATGTCTGATTGGAAGTTGTTGCAACGACGAGCCACCCCGGCGTTCTCCAGGTGATGGTTAACCCAGCGCAGTAGGATTGCCTCGGGCGACAATTTCAAGAGATCCTCTATTTTCTCGCCGTGCTGGAGCAGCGTCGCCAGTCCAGGGCAATTTTCAAGGGTTATTTGATTGAACAAACCGATGCGGATTATTTGCCAGAGCAGTCCCAGCACCAGGTGATTTCTTCCGGCTGTCAAATCATGCGCGTCAATGTTTACTATGTTACAACCTATTGACTGAGCTGATGACAACGCCAAAGTCAAGTTCTCGTGCTTTTTGTACAGTGTTAATTTCTCTTTGTTTATCGTTCGCTCGTCGATGGTATCCGGACACGAGTGATTTATTATTTTACTGAAAAAATAAATAAATACCTAAATGAATAAAAAAATAAAAAAAAAAGTAATAATTAATGTTGAAATAAAATAATTACCAGAGCAAAATTCCATCCTTGACTTTGTCATAGAGAAGCCGTCCCTCTGGATCGATCGGCAACAAGTGTTTGAGATCTGGATCGCTTCCCAGGTTGGTATTAATCCAGTCGCTGAAGGCTAATTGTTCCTCAAGCCTAACTGAGTGAGTGGTACCCTCGCTGGATGCCTCGGAAATACCGCCGAGCGTCTCCAGATTCTCCTTTTTGGAGACCACTTGCTTGAAGGTAGAGCCGAGCTCGTTGGCCTTGAGTTCCTTGCAGAGCTTCTCGAACTCGTCGAAGGAAAGCCGGCCTTTGTGCTGGAACTGCTGCTTGTCATCGTACTCCTCTATCATCTGCCTCACTTTGTACCCCGGCATCTTGAACCCGCAAATATCCAGCGCGCTCCTCAGCTCCTTTACGTCGATAAATCCATCGCCATTCTCGTCAATCTGAAAAGGAAAATTCAAATCATTAATATAAATCGCGACAATCTTTATCTACTTGATTAAATAATAATAAACCGACTAATTTAAAAAAACTGGGAAAATCTTTCAAGTATTCATCTATAACGTTCCACTTTTTCATTTTTAGCATCTCCATTTTTTCTCTAACTATTATTATTTTAAAAACTAATAAAAATATTTAAAGCAAAATAAACTTTTATTTGGTTAAATAGCTCTGCAATAAAGACGGTATCAACTCCGACAGATCAATGAGACTCGCGATGCTTATCGTTATCAGATCGGATTAAAAAAAAAGTATACATTCGCGGAATTTTGTGCGAGTTTTATCTAATCGATCATCAATAACGCTTACGGCTTGTATAGTTTGTAGTAATTACTTTAAATAAGCGCGTAATTGGGTGAAGGATTAAATCCCCGGTACCGGTGCGGGTCAGGAAATAACTACCTATTTATTTTATTTTATTTTTTTTTTTTTTTTTTTTTTTTTTTTTTTCACCGCCTGGAAACTAAATTTGAATTTATCCCAATATCCGTCTGCCAGGCTAGGCTTCCTTCCTGTTACATTTTATTTTACAAAAAAACCAAAGTCTAGACTTTTTAAAAAATTAAATTAAATTAAATCAAAGCTTGTTTATTTGTTAGTACTTCAGCATTTACATTATTTAATGGCGCAAAAAAGCGTCGCGTAAATGGAAAACAATACTTGAGCTAATTTCCACGGATACAGTTTAGTTTTGTTTTGTTCCATGAAACGATGGATGCAAAAAAAAAAGTCTTTATATTAACATTACCGAGGAAAGAGCAGAGATCAAGTGCAATAGCAATAACACCGAAGGACAAATCGGCTTTGAGTTTTATTAAAATAATAATAATGATGATGACGATAAAATGAAAAGGTCTTTACTCGAGGATATAATATAGAATATAGAATATATTTTATTTATTCCAGCAAACTCGGTAATAGCCGGGCTGGTTAGTAACCCATGTCGTCACCGTTATGGTTACTTGATGACTGAGACTGACACCGTGGAATGCTAGGAATTCTTAGATTTATGTCTTTTATCATTTTAAATTATTACAACTAAAGAATTACTATTAAACTTTTTCCTCATTCTCATTATTTTAAATATTATATTCTTTTTTGTTTTATAACTGTTTAAATAACATTGTACTTATTTTAGTAGATTTGGAGGTAAAAGTTATTATCGCAAATTTTCGGATGAATTATTTGAATTAAAAATATAAATTATTGACTTCATGGAACGTATTTATAATGCAGGCTTTAAATTATAAAGAGGATTTAAAGTGAGTACTTGTAGCTTCTTAGCGTGTACTCGTATACAATACTAGCTAGTATTATCGGCACTGACTACATTCTACATCACGTTTTGACTCTCACGTACAAATACTACTGCTATAAGCAGTAGTGTGAGTGGATTTATATATATATATATATATTGTTGTAATGATAATAACAATAAGAATAAAAAATAAAAGTTAAGCTCCTATCCCAGGTCGAGGACATTTGTATATCGGATGACAATTGACGGCCTTGAATTAAACACATACAATTATTGTTACTATACAAGTTTTCTCTTTCTTAGTGTAAATTATTTATTACCAACACTACTTATCTTTTGTCTTTGCATATTAATTATAAGAGAGCAAAATAAATTTTTTTTTAATAATAAACAAATGTTTTAAATTATTCTAATTTTAGATTTTGAATAATTTTTAGGTCAATTATATTGTTAGGAAATTAGTGTTTTTAATTATAAAAATATGTTAAAAAACTTAAAAAATGATTTTATCAATGAAAACACATGTTGGGAGTTGAAAGTTATAATTTTCCAGGGTACTCACACTTCACCGAGTATATATCAAGAGGTTGATGCTGCAGCTGCAACTTGTTTCACAGTGTAATAATCTCAGTTAATACCGTCTACTTAAATTACGCATCAATATCACTTATTTAATTATAATTTATAATAATCATATTTAATACTTTTTATGTTTAACAAATTTATTATGTCTATATAAATTTTATGATATATAATATTAAACCTGACACCATTATAATTACTATTCAATCAAGTCAACTAATAGCACCGTTTAATTACACGGTATAGGCCTGAAAGTTGATATATAAATATGAAATTAAAAACGAAAAAATGATAAAAGAGAGCGGTATAATTGTTACTGTAATTTAATATAAATCCAGTAGCAGATTCTTGGAAGCTCTAAATTGTTGAGTAGTCTTGGTGTTATATGGAACAAACGTAAAAACCTGTTGACTGTTGGTCAGTTGTCGGGAAAGATGTTGAGTTGTCGGGCTAATTGCAATAACCAGCCCACGTTTTGCGGATCATTGCTGTCATTCCGCCCTTTGCGAGGCTATCACCCATTTGTAGCTCCACTTGGATTGGTAGCAAGCTCAAAACCCAACATGTCTCGTGGGACAACAACTACGGAGGTCACTGACCCGCTCAACCTTAATATTTATAAGTATATCCAGCCAGCCAGCCAGCCAGCCAGCCAGCCATCCATCCAGTCTACAATGGACACATCACAACAAACGTAAACATTCATTTTTCAGGCAACACACTCGGTAATAACTGATTAAACTTTTAAAACCGGAAAAATATTAACGTGACTCAGTGACTGATATATCCCGTGATTCATATTACCCACGCGTTGTTGCAATCACGCGAATAAAATACAATCATTTTTTTTATTCTTTAATATCACTATCAAAGACTATTTTCGGCCTATCACTCTCCGTTTCCGATGAGTTCTTTTGTCGATTAAAAAATAATTATGGTTATCCAATTAGAATGAAGAGAGAGAGAGAGAGAGAGAGAGAGATTAAATTTATATTAGATGACATGTTATAATGTTCAATTAAATATCAAATATTTAAGTTATCTACTATATTAAAATGTTTGTGAACAAAGATCAAACAAAGAAACGTTATCTCTAGTCAAAGTAATAAATGAGATTATTAATTCATTTAAATAGCCTATTTTATTATTTTTCTCACATATAATCTTACTCAAGTGTTTCATAAATCCTATTTATGACCTATTTTAACGTAACTCTACCGCAAGATTACGATGTTAAACCTCTTACGTAAATTGTAATACAAAATATGCATATGTACATTAATCCAGAGGAATTTTTTTTTTCAATTATTACTGTTGTGGATATTGGTGAGCGCAGGATTAATTTTTTAACTAATAAGTAACCTGGACTATGTCTAGGATTTAAATTCACGGATAGGATTATATATAGTTTTAATAGGACACGGTGTATCTTTAATCAGAGTTCAAGGGGAAACCAGTCACGTTGGACTGGGGAAAAATAAAAGCAGACAACGACAAACAAGACCGAGAATCAACGACAAAGAATCTTTAGTGTGGAATGTTATGTACAAACCACTATACTCTGCTCTTGTACATTATATGAGTATTACATATATGTATGAGTATATGGGCATGTATGTATGCATCTGGTTGTGGTTTGGTTATATGGATGTGGATGTACCCGTTTGCACCCACTATCCACTATCCACTATCCACTATCCACTATCGTTCACCCACACACTCATCCAGTCCATCTCTATGTATATTTATTCTTCCGCAAAGTATGTTGGTATTCTAACCAAGTATCTGCCGTACGATACGATACACTCACCACCTGGTAGAAAGAATTTCAAAGATATCATCACTTTCTATTTTTTAATTCTATTTTCTAATAGGAAATTTTTTTAATCAAAAAATTTATTTTTGATCATTATTATAAACCAATTCAAGTGTTTTTGCATCCTCTACAAATTTCTTAGGCCAAACAGTTGATTAGTTTTTTATTTTTTTATTTTTTAGAAATTAGAAATCAAAAAAAGTACTTCCATTCGGCTCTTTAAAAAAATTACAAACAAACCCGTTTGCATATACGGTATAAATAAAAATTTCGGTTCATTGAACTCTATTTTAACGCTGGAGGTTTCTAAGGATTAATTATAAGTACATACATGGGTAATATGCTCATCGTGGGATCCTAAGACAAAGGATTGGCCGCCCTTAAGTCTGAGAATTAGCTTCCGTAATATAATATTTATCCAGATTTACAAACTTGGATAAGTGCAGATGTAGACATTGAAAGTAAAAGACTAGTCAAGGTGTGAGTTAATAATATAACTCCACAACTCTAGTTCATGTTAATAAAAAGCGTCTTATTTTCATTGATATGTTTCGCTTTATTTGATTTTATGCACTTCTGCAAATTAATGCTCTTAAAACATCATTATTGTTATTTGATTTGAAATTGCTCTAAGTGCTCGTGTGGATTTAATTATTTTGATAATGGACACTAAGTACAATGAATATAATTTTAATTGAAATTAGTAAAAGCTTGTAATGGGTATTTTTTAATTACGACACTTAAAATAATTTCTAAAAGTGATTCATATTTTTAAAAATAAAAATAGATGGTAAAATGAAGATTTAACTTGTATAAAAAGGGTCACGTGCCAACGCGACGTTCGCGCCGGGGGTCTAATAAGTAAACACACGTGTGACATTGTTTATAATTTATGTCTTAGGTTTATGATTTTAAAAGAAGGTATTTATGGTAAATATGTAAACAGTTATTTATTTAACTGATAGAGAATAATCAAGGATCGCATGCATGAGTCAGAAGGAAGATTGCTCACAATCAATATTGGGTGACTCATTTATTTTGTCAGTATCATACCATAAGTTATTGCTTTCAACAATTATAAACAGTGCAATATGCCAGTAATCAGTATGTATATCTAGGTTTAGTCACTGCAAGTACGTTTTGTTAGAATAATTAGTTATCTACATCTTTACTTGACACATATATGCAGCGGACGGCGGTGGAATATATAAATCAAAGTCCGCTGCTGCGGGTTAGCTTTTTTACGCGTAATTCGATTAGACGGTCATCGTTGGGATGACATAAGACTAACTCTGAATGAAATAAAAAAATATATGAATAAAAGTGTGAGAAAATTGTAAGAAAAGTTAAAAATTACTTGAAATTTAAGAGCGTGAAATTAATGCAGACGGTCAATGTCGGAATTTATTTTTGTGAAGTTAAAGTTATGTTGTATTA